AAAAAACTTAAGTCTCGAAGAAAGGAAAGCTTCAAAGGACTTTATGCGGCAGCACATTTAGGTTAAGGACTTCTCAGTTTCAATGCTAAATCATGCAAAAGCTCGCTTGAAATACACTCTTGAATACCCAGAGGTTTCATGCGACAGGACATTTTTGCTATTAATGTCCAAGAAAAAGCTTTGAGCAAGCTTTGGTTTCGCTTTAAGAAATGACCATTTCTTGGCGAGACGTAATGATCGCGAAGCTTGATGTGTCAGCGGCCGTTGCACAGTTCCCGAATGTCAGCCTGAGTTTGGTTGAAAGCTGTTCTACATAGATGACTGCTGAGGTGATCTTCATGTTTAGTAGCTGTGGTATCTGGATCGGGTACTTGCAGAACAGCGTAGATGATTTGGGAGTTACTCACCATAAAAAGTTTCCTTGAGAGCATAATCTTACTTCTACTACTACTACTTACGTTGCCCCAAGATCGTTGAGAAAATGGAAATAATCTTGAAACGAAATCTTGAAATGAGCCTGATCTTGCTTCCACTACTACTTGCATTGCGAAAAAGATCGTTGAGAAAATGGGAAATCATTCTCTTGCTATTTTTAGTTGCACGCAGACAGTTGTCAATGTATCTGCCAAAACCCACTTGCTAGGGTCGTACTGCCGCGGGACATTTTTGTTAAGACTTCCTTGTTTTCAAGGCTAAGTTAGAAAAAACCTCCTTGGAATCCACTTCAAGCAAAAATTCTTGTGCTCTCAATAGCGGAAAAGTAAAGGAGCTTTGCAAGAAGAACAGCGTAGATGATTTGAGAGTTACCATTGTAAAAAGTTTGCTTGAGAGCATGATTTTACTCCTACGACTACATATTTACGTTTCGCCAAAAATCGTTGAGAAAATGGAAGTCCATTTCCTTGCCATTTTAAGTTGCACGCACATAGTTATCAATGTATCTGCCCCAACCCACTTGGTAGCGACCCCTAGGGTAGGCATGCCGCAGAACATTTTTCCGAACAATTCCTTGTTTTCAAGGCACTATTTTTAGTTGCACGCAGACAGTTATCAATGTATCTGCCCCAACCCACTTGCTAGCGACCCGTAGGGTCGTACTGCCGCGGGACATTTTTGTTAAGACTTCCTTGTTTTCAAGGCTAAGTTATAAAAAACCTTGAAATCCACTTCGAGCAAAAATCCATATGCTCTCAATAGCGGAAAAGTAAAGGAGCTTTGCAAGAAGAACAGCGTAGATGATTTGAGAGTTACCTTGAAAAAAGTTTGCTTCAAAGCGTGATTTTACTCCTACGACTACATATTTACGTTTCGCCAAAAATCGTTGAGAAAATGGAAATCCATTTCCTTCTGCCCCAACCTAGCGACCCGTAGGGTCGCTACTGCCGCAGGACATTTTTCCGGACAATTCCTTTTTTTTCGAGGCAAAGTTATGAAAAAATCCTTGAAATCCATTTTAACCGCGCCTACTTCGCGAAAGTGATGCTTTGGCACCAAAAAGCAGAAAAGCAGAGGAGGCTGGTCTTAAAAGAAGGACAGAGCCACGGGCTTCACGGAGGACCTTTTTGCTAGATATCCGATAGAAAGCTTCAGCGAGTTTTATATCTTTTAGTATCGCTATAAAAGTGCCTTCATACCGCGGCGGCAGCCGCCGCTGATAGCCCGTAGCAGCCGCTGGCAGCCCGTAGCAGCCCGCAGTAGCCGCCAGCAGCCCGTAGCCGTAGCTGGCCGTTTTTGTCATAGAAGTGCAAAATCATCAAATTCTTGGTATTTTAAGCGCAAACGCCCACGCTTTCCATCTTCCACGCTTTTTCCTCCTTGTTGCGGTTAATCTGCAGTTCCACTTTCACACATTACAGAGTTATTCAAGATAAGCACCGGCCAAGGATATAATTGAAGCAGAACCATGCATATAAAATAAGCACTACAGAAACTGGATGCATCCAAAGTCAGACGATCACACCGCAAAGAAACTTTGGCGAAATGTGGTTCAACGCGAAAGGGAAACTGAGCACCAATTGGATAACCAATCTATGGCAACAAGATTCTAACAGCAATGACCACAAGTATGATATACGAGATCGACTTGCGAAAACATAATCGTACTTATGCCTTAAAAAATCAAAAAGAGCAGGGGAGAATTGGTCTCGAAGGGAGGAAAGCTGCAGGAGCTTTATGCGGCAGTGCGTTTCTGTTGATAATTTCTCAGTTTTGATGCTAAATTATACGAAAACTCGCTTGAAGTCCACTTTTAACCGCTTTTACTTCGCAGAAATCACATCTCTGCCTCTTATAACAAAGAAGCAAAGGGAGCTTGGTCTCGAAAGAAAGGTTCTAAGAGCTTCAAGCGGCAAACATTTCTCCTAAGAATTTCTCAGTTTCTGTGCTAAATTATACAAATCTCGCTTGAAATCCACTTTTGACCGCTTTTATTAGGTCTTAAAGAAAGTTCATGGACACTTGCAAAAAATTTTTTTCAAATTGCTGTAACTTCAAACATATTGATTCTTCTTTGAAGCTACAAGCTTCTTTGCAAAGACAATTTTGTTTACAACATATATTTATCTTGCTGGCTTTTCAGCTCTCGCCGGTCCACCAGCATGCGCAGAAGGGAAAAAAATCGACGCGAAAAGTAACCTATTTGCGCAGAATATCTCAGGCATGATGAGAGCTAGACAGCTCATATGCTGTAGTTATATAGAAGTCTGCCAGGGCTGTCTTGGAGACTATTTACGCATTTGAGCGACTACCTGCAGAATAAGTTTTTCCAGAAAGGCTAAGAAATCACCATTTTTTGCCTCAAAAATGCACCATTTTTCGAGTAAGCGACTTTGAAGTCTTCTCGTTCTCCACAGGAGACAGCAAATTTTTGATTATTGCGAAGATTGTTGGGCTAATGCCTTTTACATCTTTTGGACCCAATGGCGATTCTCGCAGAAGCGATGTCAGCTGCGAAAATAGTTGCAGTCAGAGGCAAGTTTGACAGCTTGTAATTTCTGAGCGCTGTCGCAAAACAAGTGCAGCTGCGGGTCAGAAGGTAACAGTCTCCTCGATTGGATCACACACAATTTGGACGAAAACCTATGAACTTCACAAGAAAATGGCCGCAGGAAGAAAAATTATGAAATTGTCATGTTAGAAAGCTTTCCTTCTTTGATGTGCAGATCATACATGCTTTGGTATCGATGAAAATTAGAAGCGGCTTCGAAAATATCAGGCTTCCTTCTACCGAATAGTTTAAAAACTCGGTGTCAAATACCGACGGAGCGGCAAAAAAATGCACGCAAAAAACGAAATCTTTAAAAGTGCTCGGACTCTTCCTTTACAACCTAATATTTCGTAGAAATTATACCTCTGCCTCCTATAACAAAGAAGCAAAGCGAGAGCTTGATCTCGAGGGAAGGAGGCCTAAGGGCTTCATGCAGCAGTGCATTTCTGCTAAGAACTTCTCAATTTCAATGCTAAACTGTACAAAAGCTCGCTTGATATCCACTTTGGCCGCTTTTACTTCGCAGAAATCATACTTCTGCCCCATTTAGCAGAAAGGAAAGGGGACTTGATCTCGTGGTCTCGGTCTATGAGGCAGAACATGTTTGCCAAGATTGACCAAAAGAGAGCTTTGAGCGGACTTGATCTCGCTTCAAGAAATGACTTCGCGAGATATTATAAGGAGAGTGTAGGACTGTGCGTGATCGCGAAGCTCGATGTGTTTGCGGCCGTCGCACATTCCTGAAAGTCAGTCCGAATTTCGGGTTGAATCAGCTTTCTGCGTAGATGACTGCTTAGGCGATTTCCATTTCTAGGAGCTGGGGTGGGTCTTTGCAAAAAGAATAGCGTATATGATTTGGTAGTTAGTCGCTGTAAAAAGTTTGCTTGAGCCTGATTTACTACTTGCATTGCGAAAAAGATCGTTGAAAAAATGGGAATTCATTCTCTTGCTATTCTTAGTTGCACGTAGACAGTTATCAATGTATCTGCCCCAACCCACTTACTAGCGACCCGTAGGGTCGTTAGTGCAAATATAATCTTGCAAAACCTCGTCTTTCTACTTGGTATTTCAATTACACTCCATATTTTCCTGTACAAGAATTAGAAATTGAACATGTGCACTTGACTTTTTATCTAAACAAGGCAGGGAGACCACCTATAATAACTCGCAAACTTTGTGAAAAAGTCGTCCATTGTGTAAAGTAATGCATGCGAAATCGCTTCTGTTGTAGTTGTTTAGAATAATCTTTGAAAATTGGACTTCAAGTCACTTTTATAGAAAGAAGCTTCAAAGAGTCTTTTGTTGTATATAAATTACGAAAAATATTCTTCGGAAGTTTTACAGATTTTTCTCAGTCAAAATTTTATTTGCGAGAGTCCGCAGAGATACTAAGAATTGCAAGAAACGAAATTGATTTGGATTGTGAAGTTAACAGCTGAATCTCGAGGATGTAATCATAGGACGCCCACTTGCCATAGAGTAGGTGGATCAGTGAAAACAATTGTTCTGTCGATGGAACTCCATTTTAGTGCATTGTTTTTTGTATTCTCGCTATCATGTGCCGTAGCATGTACATATGTAGGCGGGGCTTCAACTCTGTGGCAAGCGAGCAACTATAGTAACCATTTTCTCAGTGTTCATTCTTTTTCCGGTAAAAGCCGTAAAATTTGACAAGTGTGTAGCGCCAACTCTTTGTTGAGCAACTTCAAAGTGTTTGTGGTAAGTTGAGGGGATTTTTGAGCATTTATTAGCAGCGTTGTCAAAGGAAAAAGACTGAGAAATGGCGATTCCTACATGAAAACATGAATTTATGGAACAGATCAAATGAAAACAAGAGAAACAAAAAGTGTCAGGTCCCATAGATTTTGTAAGGTTTTGATGCATTGCAAAAATCTGGCGATGCTCGATTCCTGATATGTTACTTTGCACTTGCACTGAATAAATGTAAACTCTTGCTCAACTAAAATTTTTATACAGAATTGTTTAGATTGCTACCATACCTCCCACTGCTGATGCCTCTGATGTTGGTGCCACGATGAAATTATCTTGTATGTATGCATATGCCAGCAAATTGCCTGAAAATCATCGATTCTGGGCCAAAGTTCGATTGATGAAGGTTTGTCATTACAGAGGAAAGATGCGAGGAACAAACACCGTCTCGCATTGGAGAATTAGGAAGAGGTCTTGTTTTAGGAGCTTGAATTGATGACTTAAATCTGGTTTCTTTCTTGGCCAATTTGTCATGAGGCTTGAAACTATGAACTTCGAAGTTTTGCGACTGAGTGCGCGTCATCAACATGGTACTAAAGTGCGGTTCATAATTATACGAACACCCCAAATTTTGAAAGTTTTTGGACTTTTTGGAAGAAACTCAAAAAGCCATTGATACCATGTGATAGAGCACACGAAAACGGTGCATGATCCGTAAGAATGGAAATCGACGTCAATCTGAGGAGTGTTTTTGCGCCTAATGCGAATTTTTAGCGGTTCATAATTATACGAACACCTCAAACAAAGGTCCATTTTTTATCCAAGATTGCAATCTTTCGAGTCCAAACTTTTTGTAGAGTTACAGTAACAAAGTCTGACATATCTGCTACACACTGCATCCAGTGCAGCTCAAAAAGGGGATCGTTACTTTTTTCAGATGGCTTTAAATGGTTTTGGAGTGATTGCGCTCCAAAAACATACGTTCTTCTGTGGTTTACGCACTCTAATTAGCTTGTACCAAGGCTATGAAATAAAATAAGCTCTTTCGATAGATATTTTGTTTGACGCTTGGAAAATCTATGCGTTTTCGTGCCGTTTTTCAACCAAGTTCCAACCTTACTCTAGAGTCGGAGCAAGATTTCGAGCCTCAAAACTCAGCTTCGGAAGCCCTACAATGAAGTAAGCAGATGGTATGTAGAAGTTCACAAAACTATGTATTTGGCTAGAAGAAAATCAGCAGCGTTGAGCGCTTGTTTTGCCCACGCAGACGTCATTTCACCAAAACCACTGTTTTTACTATAGCAATCACAACTTGATTTGGTTTTTTGCTCCATAGCTTCAACATCAGTTCTACAAAAAACGCAAAAACGTTGGCACGGATACATCATCATGCAAGGAATGCAGATGCGTCATATCAAATGTTTGCGCGAGAGAGAAGTTGAGTTTTGAGGCTCGAAATCGTGCTAACTCTAGGGTAAGGTTGGAACTTGGTTGAAAAACGGCACAAAAATGCAAAGATTTTCGGAGCGCTAAACAAAATATCTATCGAAAAAGCTTATTTTATCTCATAGCCTTGGTACAAGCTAATTAGAGTGCGTAAACCACAGAAGAACGTATGTTTTTGGAGCGCAATCACTCCAAAAGCATTTAGAGCCATCTGAAAAAAGTAACGATCCTCTTTTTGAGCTGCACTAGGTTTAGTGTGTAGCAGATATGTCAGACTTTGTTACTGTAACTCTACAAAAAATTTGGGTTCGAAAGATTGCAAGCTTGAATAAAAAATGGACCTTTGTTTGAGGTGTTCGTATAATTATGAACCGCTAAAAATTCGCATTAGGCGCAAAAACACTCCTAAGATTAACATCGATTTCCATTCTTATGGATCATACACTGTTTTCATCTGTGTTCTATCGCATGGTACCAACGGCTTCTTGAGTTTCTCCCAAAAAGTCCGAAAACTTACAAAATCTTGGGTGTTCGTATAATTATGAACCGCACTTTATCATAGGCGGTGTCTCACCATAATTTGGATCTCGAGATTTTTCGAAATACAAGTCTTTCCAGCTTTGATTGGGTCCAAATCTTCATAATCTCAAAACCCCGTTCGATGGCTCTTGGAAGCATTGCGGACACGTTGTTTCCCTTCCTTAACTTCGGCAGTAGGGTCGAGCATGCCAGGATGGAGGGCGTCGCTGTATTTTGCCGATAGGCTCCACCATGTGCGGACAGCTGGCGCGAATCTATAATGCCCTAAATATCTACAGCTGCGTGTCTGTAGCAGAGGTCCACGTGGGACCACTTCTTTCGACGACATATAGTCCTCTACACCGTCGCCTGGAAGGACTTGTTCAAAATATAGCGGGAAACCCATAAATTGTCCAGAGCGAGCCAAATCGCACTTCGCGAATTACTGTGCGAGTACTTTTCTAGGTAAAGACAATGCCGTATCAAATGGGACCAGGGAGGTGGCCTACGAAATATTCGGTCCTTTAGAGAAATCATAAGCATACAGTCTATCTCAGATGTAAGAGACACTGTTCAAAACTATGCTGATATACTGACTGCTAACAATGATAACGAGCATAAAAAATGAAAACGAGTGAAAATGAATGAAACTCGGCTAAGTGTTTTTGCATCGAATTTGAACTTTTATCAATATGTGTTTCTACCTTCGTCGAGTCGAATTGAGGACAGACCTGAAACTACTGCTGAAGGGTCATAAGCATTCTTCCAACTGTCAGTGCGAAATGGTATTTTCATTTGTTATTGTTAGTTCAATCGAAATTTTAGAAAAATGGCACGAGTGGTGCTACGCTTGACGAGCAGAAACAAATCAACTCTGATCGTGAACCGTATATGCAGTTTACAATGTCGGCAAACGATATAAAAGACCCAAAAGATCTTTACATTGACATAAAGCACAACTGTGTCAAAAACGTGAGTCTGCTAGTAGTAAAGCACAAGAGAATATGCTCAGATTTCAGCACACAACGATGTATCGTGTTAAAGACGTTGATGTCGAGATGGACAGCAATAATCCCACAGTCAAGGATGTGGGTACAATATTTTTGCCTTGATAAGAAAAATTACGATTGTGTAAATACTTTATTAGGCTTGATGTGTTTTTAGAAACTCTCTTTTGAAATAAAAAACTTTTATGACTAAACTTTTGTGACTTATAACATGAAAATTGATAAAAATCAACTACTCCGTGTTTTGTGTTCAAGTCTGTCTTGTTTATTGACAACTGATACTACGATGAATCTTATATATAATGCTAAATGTCTGTGTGTGTGTCTGTACGTATGTTCCGAATAGAAAATTCCATTTCTGAACCGATCGGGACCAAACTTGGCACACATACACTTCGGGCCCCGGCGGGTGTTATAGGCTACTTTTCGTCATCGATCGATATCGACTTTATCGATTTTTTGGAAAATTGGAGCTACAGGGCTGGGAGTTGGCACAGGGGGGTAATCGAGCATGCTGATTACAAATATATTATTGACAGGCCCGGGCGGAGCCAGGTTTGCCAACTAGTAAAAGATATAGATACATATTCGCGAAGTCATACAGTCGCCCTTCTTACCATATGGACAAATACATAACTTACAAGAGAAGCCTTTTGCTCGAAACGGGCTTTTCACATGACATCTATATCACCTTGAAGAGCATTGAACGATGATTCCAACCTTCCTTATCTGCCAAGCTCCTCTGGAGCTAGCTTTTTTAGGTTGGAAATGAATGCGCGACAGAAACAAGATCTTCCAAAATTGCTCAGATAGTCATCTCAATTATCACAACAATTCAATAAATGGATGCCTTCTGTCCATTACCCTCATACTCAATACCCTATTTAAGCGCAAAAAAGACCATAGCCTTTGTTTTTACCTATATTCTGCGTTCATTTTCCGCTCTAAAAAGCAGTTATAACTCGGGCCAAGGGCACTTGGCAGAATATAAAAACAGATTTGAAATCAGCCTTCAATGTTTTTCAAAGTTCTATGGGACTTCTTCGAGAAGGTCACTCCTAGTAATAGGTATCTTTATAAAAGTCAAGCATGTGCGATACTTTATTTGATGTTTGTTTATTTGTTTATTTGATGCATGCATAGTGCGCCACAATAGAGCAAGAAGTGAAGACTTGGGACAGATGAATGCCAAGCTGCCAATGAGATATCAGGTAAACCATTACATCAGAAAGGATAAACAAGCGAAAAATAGCAACTCGATGACTATAAAGCACACCACAACATCTAGGCGTCAGTAAATAGCAAAGTAACAGAAAGAAGTTGGTTAGAGAAAAACTTCATAAATTTCAATAAATGCCTAGTGCGACGGCAGAGAAGCGCAGAAATCAAGAGAAGGATGTTTCCTGCAGAAAAAGGGCAAAACATAGATATATCAGCAGCTAACAAGCCATTCACTAGCGTGAGGTTGACACTCCTAAGGGTACGCTTGAACGAACACACTCTGAGCAGAAAGCACTCTACAAAAGAAAGTATCGAAGAGCCGCAAAAAGCGCTTTCCATGAATGCAGGGTAATAATGTTGCACATATCAGTTCTAGCAGTAAGTCTAAATATCAGAAAGTACTTACTCGCATTGAGCCTAAACTCCTTACGCGGACGTCGAAATGCAAAAACGAGTTTAAAAGCAGCGTCCCATTACGTGGAAATGCGCCTCCAAAGTGGACCCCGTATCGTGTTCGCATGGATTCATGGCAGTTTGCGTGAGGACAGATGCTTTGTGCCATGAATCCATGCGAAATACGATCCCGGGGTCCAGTTTCGAGGGAAATATTTCAACCGTTAGAGCACTATCTGAGCTGCCAGTTGGGCAGTGGCTTAGTTAGGGCCCCGAAATTACTATCTCTATCCATGTGAGATCCCCATGTGTCCAAACTTGCCTGGACGCTGCCTTTAAGTTAAATACGTTTGTACTCTAAAGTCTTGCTCAGTATAAAAGTTTGAGCTTGGACGGTTATGAGTTCTTGCTTAATATAGAGGTTTGAGTTAGAAGGGTTATGCGAGGCATATTCCGGAACATGACATACGCATGCAGCATTTGCTTTCCGGCTAATGTGAATCAAGAAATGTTAATGCGGAACCAATAAGACAAAGGCATACTCTGCGAAAATACTGGGTCGAGGGAGGCTGAAAGGCGGCTTTCAGACGCACCTTCTTTCCCCTACCCCCTCCCCTCCCTCCTCCAAGAATGGGTCGCGAATATTTCGAAGTAGACAGAATGAGTTACGAAATTGTGCAGAAGACTTTTCCACGTAATCTTTTCTTTGAACCTGGGCATGTTGTATTGGATTTGATAGAGATAATTCGAGTTCACAACACGAAAAGTTTTAGAGGCCGCGTTGATCTACACCAGAAATCCGGGCATGAACAACAAAAAATGAGAGCGCGACGATAACGACTGATCTCGTGCCTCTTATGACATTATGTGACCTTAAATCGCACAGTATATATAATCCTTGACTCACCGAGCAGCCTCAGTAATGTCTGTCACATGTGCGTACTAACTCCAAGGTGGACCAGAGGTTGGTGAATCCATTTTGGATTGTTTCTTGGCGCGTTACCCAGACGAGGTTCAAATGACGGAAGTCTCATGAAGTACTGGTCGTGTAGACTAAGGGTAGTTTCATACTGCCGCACTGACCACACCAGACTCAGCTGACCGCACTGACAGCAGCAGACTTGAGCAGACTGCGGCTGACCGCACTAACCGCCACGAAAGCGCAGATCGCTACATCCCTTCGTAAAAGAGAGAACAATTGCGATTACGTCAAAACATCATGGTTTACGCCTACGATGTTCATAGGATCTACAGTAAATTCCGACCCGCTTTAGGCGGAAATCGAATTGGCGGGAGCCTTGCAACAGTTCGCGCCGTTTCGCAGCTACAGTATATCATATGGGGAGCACGCAGAAGGCGACAATGCGCGCAAAGTGCAAGCAGTGTAAAATCGCTCTTGTTACTTTTTACAAAATTTTACTTACGGCATTGAGTCGTGTATCTGTTCCCACCCCCACCCCTACCTTGGCGCCGTGTCACTTTAGAAGCAAAGAATTTTGAAAGGCACAAGATTTGGAGATTGTCGCCTTGCGCACCACACCCTATCGTATCGCTGAGAGCCCAAGCCTGCTATCTTCAGTCTCCTTAGTCTTTGTTTGGCAAAATAGCGCTCTGCTCGCGAAGGCTCTAGCGATGCGCATGCGCTGCTGCACGTAGAATGCTTCGCCTAATTCGGAATGAAACCGACTGTAATTTCTCTTCTCAATCAAATTTTGGCGATTGTTTTTCTTTGGTATGCTCATATTTGATCTAATTCCTCCTATTATTGCATATAACTGTTTTGTAATACTCTCGCTCGTGTTGTCTTTTGGGTCTAGGCGTATACTATTGTTAATTGTTGGAATTACAATTATTTATCCCTCCTTTACAAAAGGATGCAGCGATCTGTGCGGCCGTTGCGGTCAGTGCAGTCAGCTGCAGTCAGCTACGTTCACTGCAGCAGTCTGCAACAACCCTAACAGATAATACCACCGCAATTCTTTTCCAAACCTCCGAAGAAGACGATATTATTTCGAACATAAGGTTAAAGATCCACCACAAAACCTGGTTGGCAGAAAAACAACACACGATGTGCAGAAGAGTTTTTCCTTGTGAACAAATCACATCATTTCAAAAATTTTTGGACACAAAAATGGCTAATAATTACTTTTTCATGCGTTCATGCGCATTCATCTTTAGGCTGCGCTCCTCTCCCGCCCCTTTCCTACTACCTTAATTTCATGCTATAGCCGTATCGTTTTCGGCTTTTTTCGGTTTTTCAGGCGTACCGCTCAGTCGCCTCGTTGCGTTTCGCAAAACGAGACTTATGCTGTACGATGCTCTCAGGCAATATGTAGCACTGTAAATATCTTTTGGATCGCGAAGTCCTTCGGCGTGTCTGTGCTGTTTGATTTAAGAAAAAATGCCTCTACCTTGCGTCCTATAGCGTGAAATCAGGGTATTTATAAAACTACTACCCCCGCTACTATTCACTGGTCACTCATTGGCCGTGGCACTCGATTTATACACTTTTCTCTTGACAAAGCGATCGCATGAGTAGACCATGTTACATAGCCATTAGCACAAAAAAATTACAATGCGATAGACCAAGATTATCGATGAAGTGTCAAAGTTCAACTGTACAAAACCTCCTACGCCATACAAGCTCGATCTTCAACAACTGATAAAAAGGAATATTTTTGGAGGTGTCAATAAAAATTAAAAAAATGTGAATGTATAAACAATTAAGATGCACCTGGTAATCCACATCGTGATCAAAAGACATTAAGAATCATATGACAGTGAATTAAGAGATTCGGGATCAAAGTTCAAAATAGTACCAGAAAACAACGAGATAACAATGAACAATTTCCACATATAGACATTGATGTACACAATTGCATAAAAACATATTGAAGGATTCTTCGATGGAATCAAGCACGTCGATGTGACCCATGCCCCTTTATAAAATCCCTTCAATGACCCAAGAGAGGAGCGTTTTAACATCTAAGGATTTGTACTAATATAACTCGGAAATATGCTACAGATATAAACTGGTTGGAACCAAGTTTTGTGGGGCACATAGCAGCACTGCAATTTGGAGCATACATGCGCATTGGTTTGGCCAAAACCCTTATTTTGTTCCTATAATTTAAGAGCCATAAATGCAATTAGGCTGCTTAGGGCGATTCTCTCATTGCAGTTCTTTCACTGAATTGTAGAAAGACCTATGTTAACTTTCTAGACACAATGCACATGTAACTCTACTTTTTTCGCAGTTTCAATGGCATCAGGGCAAATTTGGATTATGTACAATATTACTATCATGAAAACTAATTTGAGCCATCCTTCCTCACATTAAACGTCTTCAAAGGCGGCCAGGACGAGTGGGTCATCGAGAGTCTTATTTTTAGAGAGTTACATAGCTTTTGAGTTTCAGAGAGATATGGAAGCTTTTGAGTTTCAGAGAGATATGGATACAAACTCTTGAACAAATCTTGCAAAAGTTGAAAGTCTTTCTCCTAAAAAAACCCAAAGACGACTTGCGACGCGCCTCGAATGGTAAACACAGAAACATGAACCTAATTACTGCTGCAAGATGAAGAAGTTACGTATAACTGCGCATATCTAAAATGTATCTGTATGAATTAACCTTCATAATATTCAGATAAGGCTTATGCATTATTCATGCATACTCACTCTAGCGGAACTCGGAACACTAAGCGTGCAACTCACTTTAAAATTATCGCTCAAAATGATAAGGGGTCCTTGTTAATTAATTCCTACTTGAGTCCCTCCTCAATTTAACAGCCTGCTACTGTGGCTACGGTCCCCTCAACACTCCCACCCTTTCTTTCTAAGGTTGATGAAATGGTCACATTACATGCTCGATCCTGCTAGAGAATTCCTAAGAAAAAGATAATTACAGTTTTACGCATTATAACGGACTTTTTGCAATGGGCCATGATTAACTAATCGCATGTTTGCCTCCTCAATGCTGCCAACCGGGTCTCTCTGTCTTCTGTAAAGAACATTTAACATATTCTATTCAAAACATTTTAATCACATCCAAAGAAAAAACTCACGAGTTGGCGATATAAATATTGTGTCCTCGCTTTGCGCAGCGATCAGCCACAATCAAAGGCACAGGCAAGCTTACGGTTGCAGTAATTATCTGGTGCAGATAACACAATCCATGCGTCATACCTTCGATCACATCAACAGGAATCTGAGAGTCGTCGTACACTAAAGCATACTTGGGTGTTCTGGCAGTTCCCTAAAATCACAAAATTCTTAGATCAAAAATCCTTTTTGAAGAAAAGCACAGAAGATGTAGGCTGTACTTTAACCACCGACACTGCATAACCTCCGCCAAAGCATTCCGATTCCCGACTTGCAAAATGGAAGCAACTTAGACAAAGGAAGCAAAGGAGAAATGTAAAAAAAATGTAGATATATGAGTCGGAATTCGGACCCAGAAGAACAGATGATTCGAACAACGACAATGCGCAAAGTATGCGTATGATAGATAACTTAATCTGGGAAGAAAGTGAGTAAACTGCGAGGTAGAAGAAGGTTGGGGAATTAATACAAAGCAGGTGTAATCCGCCTTATTGATAAGTAAGTAGTGTGTATATCGCGGCTCAATTCCACTGTACAACGATAGAGTTGTGGTAAGTGCTGCATTCCTTTGTAAATACTAGTGTTCCCGACCCCCACCCGCATTCATTATGGCATAAAAATTGTGCCCACAGATCTGCCGTTCACCTCTCTGCTGGAATACTGAACAGGTCATGCACAAGCATGGACTGCTTTATAAGAGTATCTCTGTTGCCCAGATGTAGTTCATTTAATTCGTTCCTCCTTTTACTGGCAGTACACTAGATACTCCTGCGCCTACGCGTGCAGGTCATCTTACTACTTACTCAGGGTCCGGCATAGATCGAATGGAAGCAGAATGAGTTTCGTTTTTGGGACAAAAAGCAAAGGGGATACAGTTTTTGCGGTGTGGCGGAGCTTCGGAAAAAAAATTGTGTACTACAATACTAACGAAATTTTTGGGAAAAATTGCACATACAGGGTGCAAGACAATTCGCACTTCCTGTAGCTCCAGAAGCGACCACTGGATCAAGCACAAGCTTCAAAGACAGGTTATTACAAGATAGACATGATCCATCGTGTCATGCGGGGGCGCGCGCATTTTGAAAGTAAAGCCGAAATTTACAAACTGCTTGTTTAGAACATGGAAACAAGCATATAAAGCAAATTTGGACTGTATGCATAGAGTGTTATCTAAGGAAGATTTATGTGAAAAGTTCCGAAAAATTATGCGAAGTAGTACCATTTCCAAAATTGGTCCGTTTCCAGACGGCCACCAAACTATCTGAGATCGTTTGCAGCATATTATATTTTCGTAGGTTTACAAAAGCCTTGGATTTTTCTATCATGGACGGATTACCCGGCCCGGAATATGTACCCGAGCATGTAAACATTTTCTTATCGTTGCCTTCCTTTCTTTTGCCTTTATTTCTTCACAAATCACAGATGAATTTTTATTCTTATTTCACGTTTTTCCTTTCAGAATAATGACTTTTTTGTTTCCATCTTTTCCTAAGCCTATAGACTTCTGATAAGAGTCAAAGGCGACTTCGTAAATTTTTCAGAAGCAAGAGGGGACTTCGTTTTTAAAAACCCTAGAAACCGATTCGTGCCGGGCCCTAGTCTTACTCGATAAAGCCGTAAGCTTACACATGTTATACATACACAAAAGAGAAACCCTACTCTACAGGCGCTATCCCGTTCAAAGCTATACTAGAAGCCACGGAATCGCCGCACCTTTGATGCACAGCCAAATAAGTAAGGCAGACAGCCTTCTACTTCGCTGAGCTCGCATAAAAGCATGGCAACAGGTGGAGCAATTTCCCTGCCACCTTCAATTTTGAGCCGGCATCTGGATGACCCAAGGCATAACCGCAGAATAAAACGCCTACGACAAATGGTGCACATTCTGTCTGGGACCGCCAGCCGCTGCTCCTTATGGTCAGTGCATGACATGACTGCGCTTTTACAGCGTTTGCTGAGAAAAACGCAAGATTGCGACTTCCTGTCTCACTCAGGCTGCTTTAGTTTTGATAGCGGAATAAACCTAATAATTTAGGAAATGTCTAATGATTTTAATGAGCAACATCGCTAAAGGAATATATATTGACGAGGGAAGAATTATGCAAGAGTAGGAAATCTGATATACCACTTATAGGCTGTATCACCCACCATCGATCGCGAGGATCCAAGGGATCAGGCTGCGCGCGCGCGTCGCATGCGTAGGAAATTAGTACTTGAGCGCGACTGATCGCACCAAAAGCCTACGCAGTCGCCCCTTCATCCTGTTTTTCTTTTCGATTTACCTTTTCCCTGTGTCTTTCCTGTCCTTTTGCGTTCTCGGATCAACTAAGGCTCATTTTGGAATGGTGAGGAGTCGTTCGGAGCACCAAACCAGAAAACTCAGTGAGAAATGTTATCATTGACTCTTGAACTATTGGAAGACTGGAAAACGTAATGCTCGCTCATGAAAACAGATCAAAACGTGCGCATCTCCTCATTTAGCGTGAATTGGCCACTTCGGATGCCAGTAACAAAAGTTTGAGCACGTAAATCAACGTGTGCCATGCGTTTTGAAGGGACCTAGCCTTAGAGTGAATTTTTGAATGGTTCCTTATTGATTTTGAAGTGAGATTACTCAAAAATACAACAATACGTGAGAGTGTTGACCATGATCGCAAAAAAACTTCTTGGGTGATGGGTCATGCTATGTATTTTGAAGCATCGCAGCATATAAAATACGCACGCACATGAATGAAAACTTATGTAAGAATGTAAAGCAGAGATACGCAAAGAAACATCAAAATAAGCAGAGTCAGTTGATCCGTTCAAATCTGAATGCAGGGCAATTTTGCGCTCGAGTGCCAAATACGTATGCGGCGCGCGCGGAGGCTCATACTGTGGTTCCTCGCGACCGATGGTGGATGATATGGCCTATATATTCTCTTATTGCACACACCACCGCTCGGCATGTAAGCCTACGTCAGCATTCACCTCAAAGCTCAGTTACCCCCTTCGCTTTTCTAGGTCTAGGTCGAAAATAGCCGACCCCCCCCCCTACCCCTCCCCCTCCCCTCCCCACTCGAAAGGGACCCTGCTGCCTCAATCGTACCTGTGCACGGAAGTTCTGCAGAAGGTTTCGCTTCATTATTGAGGAGAAAAGGGCCCTTTGCCACAAATCGTTCCACTTAGGAAGTAGACCTAGAGTCAAATACAGGAGTAACCTCAGTGCTGGAAAGCAAACCATATGCTCAGGACAAACGACAGAAGAAGTCCGTGAAATCAGCCATTTCAACTTCGGTTGAGGCAGCTTTAACTGCAAAACGAAGATAGAAGCGAAAATTTACCACAGATCAATTCGACAGAGAAATTTCTGAAAAAAAGAAAGCGAAACGTTGTAGAGCAGACTTGATGACAAGGCCTTCCCTCATGAATTAGTGAAGTTGAGACAACTGTATCCGAAGATAAGCACCTTTTAGCTCCGTCTCCAAACAAGGCCGCTGTAGATACCGAAAATATCACCCAAATTTTTACCACCCTGTCACAATTCAATGTACTAATCACAGCAGCCACCGCCCGTTCATTCCAACCGTCAGCCACCTGCAGTCACGTCAGCTCGGATGGCACATCTAGACACGGGTAAGCGATACGCGCGGCTTACCAACAACTACTGCTCTATCCAAGCAAAAAGCAGAAGTTTATGGAGTAAATTATTTGATATGTTTAAGTGCAGCCTGCTTTTCTGCTCCACACCTGTCCGGCCGCAGTGTGCCAATAGATTCGCCACATGTTTTACCTTCTCGTACCTAAAGTGCTGTACAAAGAGTTTCTCTGATGCCCACATGTAAGTGATTTACTTTGTTCCGCCCATCAGTGTCAGCAATCTACCACATACAGGGTTTATCAATTGCAAAGTCGGAGCACTAGCATCTCTTCGCGAACATGCCCTCTACCACTTTCCCACTAGGGGTGTGGAAAAGGGGGAACTTCAATCGCTAAAGCGTGCGAAAATGATCAAAAAGCAGGTTCGCGAGAAAAGCGCAGAGTCCAAGCGAGGCGGCGTGCGAGAACGGAGATACTGCTTCTCTGACTCTCCAATTGATAAGCCCTGTTTGCAGGTCGTCTGACTCAATAAAGTTGTGAGCTTACACGTGTTCCACAAAGCAAAAGGGAGACTCTTGCTCCAAAGGCGATATTTTGCACAAGTCTATGCTACAAGTCACAATCGTCACAGAATCATTCAAAAAATTCCAGCAAGGCAGCATCTGTGGGTGGTACACAAGGCGTGGAAAGCAAGCGCGGGCCGTTGCTAGTCTCGGACATATTTGATCGATCCCATCCATATTTCAATCATTCTATTCCAAGAAAATGTTATAGAAATCGGATAGAACGAAGACAGGAGTGATGGGCAAGAGAGAAAGGGATGGAAACACCAAGCAGAGCTTAGAAAAGGCTACGATAAGAGCAAAATCGCTCGATATCAATGATAACTAAACGAGCTAAATTTGTTTGAGTCCGCATATGTCTATCACGAAGATGTTGGAACGAGTTTGTAAGAAAGATATTGAGCCAGTTTAGCAGAGTGCACGCTGCAGTACATTGGTTCACTATGCACAAGGACAAACGAATTGAACCCGCCTAAGCTACTAATCTCATGGCAGAATTTCTGAGGTAGCACTTGCTCAGAATTTATTTGTGATAATCGCTACAGAGTTTCAGAGCAGACTTCTGCATTGTGCAAGCTCGAGGAGCATGGTAAACGGTGCGAGCCTCTGCGAAGCAGAATTGGCGCAATGGTCTCCATGAATTTTCGTACGTAAAGCACGCTCAATGCTAATGCTAAAGATGTCAAGACTGCTATAAGGGAAGGAGCCCAAGTTGCTGCAGAACGTGCTTGGAGTTCACCTCAGGAGAGCGTATTAGGCATTCAAGTGTACTAACTAACAAGAGAAATGCGCAGTTCACAAAGACATGAATGTTTTTCAAAGAACGAATTTTTAAGGAGGCCCTGTAACCTGCTATATTTGGACTTTCAAACGCTCACAACTTCTAGAAAAGCTCTCAGCATTTGCGGAGATGGGTCAGCTTAGCAAAACGTATCTAATGATATGCATTTTGTTCCCAATCGCCACTGCTTCTTGTTTTTCCCTGGTAAAGATCTCTCCTCTCGAAACGGATACATCGGCAACTCCCAACACACCGGCGACTATTGATCAAAATAATTCCTAACATATTTATTAGTACTCTTGCCGCGGAAAAAGCATAGCTATTTTGCTGAGCGTTTGCCTTTACTTCAGTCAGGAAAGAAAAAAATGTGCACGAATTTCAAATTGCGACTGTTAACCTACCTGAAAAGCAGAATGAGCATTTAAGTAGAACTCATTAATTACTGGTGATACTATCTTCGTATCAATAACGGTTCCTGGCGGAATGTTTTGCTCGGAGGCTCGATTGCCACTGATTATCTAAATAATATTTTAATTAGGCACTACTAATCAACATTTTTCAAGCAAAAAGCACACCGCTTTGTAGATACGTTCATTGTGGTCCTTTGATACGGTCAGAGCAGTGATTAGAGGCTTATAGTTTGGTGAGAGCGACCTGATTCCATTCTTGATGGCTTGTATATAAGTACTAGCGACCTTAAATGCAGATATGTATAAGCCCCTCATGTCTTTGAGCCTCATGCATATTCCAAGCGTTCTCATCTCCACGATATCTAGAGGGTTTGGAACTTATTGGCGCAACAAAAAAGCGATACACTCCTTTCAAAATCAATTTAGATTGTGCTTGATATAACAGTAGAGCAAGTGCATGCCACAACATTATTATAAGAATATAGGACTCATCAATCCAACTCTTAGCAAATCACGAATTATTGCCTCAACGCATACGAAATAGGCACGCACTACTGCCGGAACTAGACCGATAAAAAATGATACGCAAAAATGCGCAAGCTAATTTAAACTTTATGATAAGTAGCTTTAGAATCTGTGCATTCTGCTAAATAGATATAACGAGATGAAATCGCGTCAAGGTATGCTCAATGCTTTACAAAATCATCTCACCATACTCCATCGCCCTTCGGATATTCCTGAGAAATAAAGCACCAAGTGGCGAGGAGCAATATTTGTAGCAGCTCGAAACCTCTTAAGAATATCGACTATCAGCTCGCCTAGATACGGGCCCATCATCTGCAAGGTCACTGACTCAAATAGTGTATGATGTGGTTAAACTTACATCAGCTTGGCGAGGTTCGACGTAGATGTAATCGCCAAGATACTGCTGCGAGTTTCTTGCACAATTCGCTCCCCATCCCAGCACCGAAGGCATCTAGATATGCACAGATAACAAAAAAACTATGCAAGATATAAAACTGCCAAGAAAAGCTGTTTTATATGCATATGCATAATCTTCTCAATGAACAACTAATGCGTAACAAGCCCAAGTTTCTTGGGCGACACATAGAAAATTATTGTATGGCAAAGAAATCTATAAATTGCAGTTTAAGATGTGAGACGGATTCAAAGCTTGCTAATGTTTGCGTGCACTTTAGGGCTCGGGGAATCTTCTTAAGCAAGGTATTTTGATTGTAGTTCAGCAAGGAGTGTTTACTCAACAGCTTCTCAGATAATCGCCGGGATCAGGCGGCCATGCGATATATGGGCGGGCGAGCACAGAAAAAATAGTTCGCTGATTTCTTGCGGTCCGCTTGCAGATATTTGGAAGAATTTTGGAGAAATTTTAGACAAATGTTTAGAAAACATGCGGCTTTCCACAGATTAGTTGCGGCGAAGTGGCAATTTGCATATTCTCGCTCAATGGCACCCCTGTTATGTAGAGTGTTACCTTTGCTCGACGTACGCCCGGAACTGCTAAAAAAATAGTTTGAGCGCCTGCTAAAAGTTCGCACTCGGTGAATGAGATTGTTTAACGAGCGCTTGTTAAAAGTTTTGTATTGCTGCCCGCTGGGGCAAGACGAAAGTACCGTAAAGTAGTAGACGTAAGTAGTGATGAAGTCCTTGACCCTGACTAGAGCCATGCTTAAACAAGCTTCGCCTTGTGCGCCAGCGCTATCCTGCTAGAAGCACCAATATCTCCTAGCGAGATGGGTATCGGTTTAACAAATCTTCATCAAAATCCTATTCAATTGTGTAACAACGTCCACGTGGAGCTTGGTTTAGAGCTCTGCGGCACAAAAATCAGCGGTTTTGCCGATTTGACGGAAAAATACCTGCTCAGCGGTGGAAAGCTGAAAAAGATTGCGGTTTGGTGGCGATCCTTGGAGACATTCTAGCAGTCGGGCTGTGCAGTCGGTTTAGCTTCAGGTCGTCCCTTCAGGAATAAGCTTACTGCTTACTTTGAAGCTTCACACAAGGCCTGTTTTACTTTCAAAGGCCTGCGAGTGATGGATGCTTCTAAGGTTAGCTCAGTCAATCCTGAGAATTCTAACGGATGATTTCGAACAACCTCCTAATTTTTGGAGTGTTCGCAGTAGCCGCTTTGTCACTTCTACGACAGTCCTTCGTACAATGGAGACGACACTCAAGGTGAATTGAACCGTGTTCCGTGAAATTTTAAGACTCCCGCGACCTAGTGTTAACCTTTCTCTGTGCATATCCACGATCAACGCTCGCTTCGCTTGAGAGTACATACTTGCCGTACTTTCTTTTTCTGGTTGTGTGTGAAATTCACATATGAATTCTGACCTTTTGTCTTCCCTCGATCCCATTTTAAACTCTAAATACACCCATTCTACTCTATGAATACCGCCAGCGCGTAATGGTGCGAATCCACCAAAACTTACTTTCAGAGCACTTGTACGTTCGTACTCGAACCTTGATACTGCTGGTGGATTTGATATTTCAAATCCCACGAACATTCTGTCTTTATCGCCAAGCCATTTGCTAGCGCTGAAACAAAAGCATTTCGAATTATCAAATAAAAATTCAAACTGACGGGTCTTTTGGTTTCGAGCCAAGCATGATATTGTAATTTACGCCACCGAGTTTCACATTGACCTGAAATTAATAACTGCAGACGGAAAATCGGGTTTGAAGTTCTCACCTTAGACACAACGTTGTCCAGTGTCTGCGTTTGGCTCTTTGTGAGAACAGCATCAACTTTGCTACCTTTGATCTCCTGTGAAACGATCTGGTGTTCGATTTCAAGCAGCTTTATGAGATCTGAACTGATGTGCAAAATGATTCTTCAAAAAAATGAGAAGCAGATGAGGTGCATTACACCTCATTTCTAAGACCAACCATGTTGCTTAATGTTATCGGAGGTGATGAACATCAAATAACGGCGGTTCTTCTGCTTTTGAGAGGCATACCATTCCTAAAAGTTGATAAGTGTTTTTTACTTTTTTTTTTACTTTGGGTTTGTAAAATTTTGGCGAAGTCAATATGAATGCAACATAAATTCTACGATTTTTCAGAAAGCGATAGTGACAGCGTTAACAAAACGAGGTGAATGACGATTTACCATCAAAGTCTCGTAGTTCTGAGGTTCCAGCGCGTAGATTTCAGAGCATGGTTCTGTCTCCATCCCATGTAAACGGCATCGTTCCTCGATGCGCTCTGCATAGTCTCTATAAGAACAAGATTCAGCTTTACAAGGACACGGCACACTATACCAACTTGATATACAAACGGCGCCTATCTTCCGTGGTCAAAGTGCAGCAAATAGCCCAGTTGAGCAGTTTAGCAGGTTCAACATATCGGTATCGGTCGCTACTCCAATTGCACTGAACGAGAATCAACAACCTACCTCATATGTCGGCATAACAGAAATAAAACGCATACGTTGTCGACAGGTTTCAAATATTTATTGTTTCCGTAGATGATAGTCGGCGACGGCAACACTCGACCAGGTACCTGCAGTAAGAACCGCCATCAAAATCAACATATTCTTAGGCCTCCGGCATAGTTCACGCGATTTCTCGCCCCGCAATTCTCCCAACAAGATAACTGTCATGAGTCTATTACAGTCTCTCCCTCATTCCTAAGCCTAAGCCTAAGCCTAAGCCTGCGCTTAGGTTGTGATAGCTTTCCGACACTACATCGTGACTAACTATCACAACCGAAATCAAAGTGATCGACATGCAATGGACTTGTAACAGTTGTCTTATCGCGCGAGAATGCGAGGCGACGAAATGGCGTGAACTATGTCCGAAGCCTTAGACTCCAAGCATACTTAACGCGTTTTCGGTCGTGATTTGGCAATTTACCAGCTTTAAGCTTACAAGAGTTATGAACAACTGGAGTATTAACAAATAGCGTCGCAACGGAATTTGCCTGTGCATGGTGCCTTCTATTTCAAACCTTACAGTTGCCGAAGGAGACAAAACAGTCATACATGCAGCTTATAGAATCACATAGTACATAAGTTTTGAGCCAAGCCAGAGGTCAGGAGACTATCAAATCTAGTTGATAGCCGATGGCCTCACTCTCCACCCCAGCGCCAATTCTGGACCTATTACATGCGAATAAACCCTGACTTTCGAAGCGGTGCAATTATTAGATCGTCATTCATCTTGGGATGCACGAGGTTTTGAAAGTGGATCAGATTCTTATATATAAAGCTGAATGTGTGTTTGTCTGTCTGTATGTATGTCTGTGTGTGCGTATGTGCGGAATAGAAATTTTTCTGAACTGACTTGGACCAAACTTGGCAACATATACATAAGGAGGGGGAGCGTGTCATAAGCTACTTTTCGTTATCGATCGACATCGATTTTATCGATTTTATCAACTTTTGCAAAGTTTGGGCTACGGGGCTGGGAGTTGGCATGTGGGGGTAATCGAGCATGCTGATTACAAAGAATGTTGGTTTTTGAATTTATCGACTACCTTCGTCGATTTCATCGATTTTTTGCAAAGTTCGAACTACGGGGCTGGTAGTTGGCACAGGGGGGGGGAGGGTAATCCAGCATGCTACGACGAGTACAATATTATTTTTTGTATTTACCGATAACCTTTGTCGATTTTATCGATTTTTTTTCAAGTTAGGGCTACGGGTCTGGGAGTTGGCACGGGGGGGGGGGGGGTAAAGCATGCTGATTACTAATGCAGGGATTGGGGAATTGGATACAGAAGTGGGCAGAGGGAAAGTTGTACAGGGATAGGGATGGGACCTTTACCATAATCTTTGAACAGGGCCGAGCGGAGCCGGGTAAGCCAGCTAGTAAATTATAAAACTGTGCAAAGAAATTTCTTCCTTGCCTATAGTCAAAGTACAACTTCCGAAAAATTCGAATTTCAAAACAAAAATTTTTGGAAGGAACAGGAAAAAATCATGTGAACTATGCGAGTTGGAGTGACCCCTAATTATGATAGTTCGACGTAGAATATAAGTATACACAACTTCAGAATTTGCAGAACTAAAGCAACGCATGCTACAGTACGTGCCAATTAAGTGCTCCCTTTTTCAAGCGCAATGAGATTCGCACCACGTTCGCGCGCGTGTGGCCATAGGCATTAAGATGGGAGACGGTCGAATGACGCGTATTGATCGATTGCGACTGATCAGAAGAACCGGAAAAAAGTTCGAATTTGGTTTGCTACTTCCGGGATTTCAACTAGTAATCCTCTGTTACTACTTCTGGTATGACGACAAAACTTTTTGAGTTCGAAAACCTCCCGTTTATAGAGTACAAATCCTTTCTGGCAATGAGGACTGACGCCACGCGCGCCTTTCGACATACACCCCATTAAGATTGGCCTTATCGATTGGAGGTCCGCACGCAGGGCCCTTGCGTTGCGCATACGCTGTTCTCATGCGAAAGGGAGTACGTAATTGACATTGACTGTAAAGACAAGGGCAAAACTTTGCAAGTTGCTGGCAAATTACCAAACAGCGCAAATTCTGATCCCATACTGACACACCATTGTAAATCTGCTGGCAACGCCAACTCCGGCAAATTTCAAATGCGGATTGCCATCCTTGATGTTCAACGCTTCCTTCAAGACCCTCGTCTGGTTAAGTCGTTTTTGCGGCAATGTTGCACTGGCCTCAAATATATTTTTTAGAGCTAGTTTGTCTAATTTTTGCGCTCAAGTGAGTATTACCCTAATCATGGTTACGACTTGTTCCGGAGTCTGCTGCTGCAAGGTGACCCTCTGCGACGGAGCAACCGTCAGGAGTTCTACGGGATAAAATGTGTGAGGGTTGCGGCGTTCCGATACCGTAAACATATGAGGGTACCTGAATGCTGTTGATGACGTGAGAATTTTTACAAATATCTGATACTAAGTTGATATTTTCACATTCAAAACGAATTTACTCACCTTAGAGTTATATTGTAGTGCTTTTCGAAATATTCCTGCACCGTCCATTGTGTTCCCTTAGCAATTTGAAATCTGAATATTTCTGTCATTGTGAGTTGAACACGCGGATACAAAACACAGAAAATGTGATTTTTTTTATTCCATTGAATTCGTTCAGTGCTATTCTTGTGCCGATACGCTCCACATTTACTTATGGAGTTTTCAAAGTTGGTCTCATTATTACCTTCAAATAAAAGTTCTCTGGTACTTTTGGAAATTTAATTAGTGACGTAACTTTGCACTCACTACGCAGGCTTCATGCGAGCTTGTCCGATGAGGAGAAAGTGGTTTTTCGCACTTTGAAAAAGATTTTGAGCGCGAAAAATCATTCAAATTTCCACCCTGCCTGGATGTAAAAGAGCCGAATTGAAACGAATCCAAACAACTAGCAACCTGAGCGGAAGCGGAACAGTCGAGCTACGAAAAAAGCGAAAGCGCTTAGATTACTGACAAACACAGATACTCCCTCAGCTGGAGTATCAGTGGAATTTTTTTTAGATTCGCAATAATTCGCTGGCCCGTAGTAGAGCTGATTTAGTTCATATTATCTGAGTTGATGCCCTCATTTGAGATTCGGTAAGGTAGAATGACGACCACACCTTCTCATGCTGTAAGAATGTAAAATGAAATGTCAGTTGACCGTTCATCTACTTCGGTCGTCTACCTTACTTTACTCACTTCACATCTGGTTAGCAAGTGAACTTATTGGAATAGCGTGTGAATGATGATACGCAGAGAAAATTTCATAAGTTACTTCTGACAAGGAAGGGTTCCCAAGTCAGCTCGGCCAACCCGGATGATTCATATATCACCTAACGGGATTGAAACGCGTATTCCAGATTTGCTTCTGGTTTCTGCGGAAAACCTCTGCAAAAGAAGTTATGAGTTTGAAAGTCCAGATTTGTCAAGTTTTAAATGGCGTGAAATTGGCGAAGGCTGTACAATATCACATAAAAGTGGGTTTTCAGTTTTGTATCAAATGTACTTGTGAGTAACTTACAACATACGTAGTTTTACATGTCGAAGGAATGCTGAGTGAGGAGCCACAGTGCACGCCGGCAATACTTAACAAGTTCTAACAACTGCGGCCATATCTCCACCGCTTCCAATTCATAGATGTGAATGTTTAGCAAACGCGTTTTAACTCTATACTTGCATGGACGTGACATTCTTAAGGTTATCATGGTGCATAGTTGGTATTGCAATCAATGGCTCGACTGAGGGCGATGACACGTCGAGGGCTTGACTAAAATTTCATTCATCTGAGATCTTCTGAGGTAGCTTAATTATGGGCCATAGTCAGATTTGAAAGTTGAGTGATCTATCAACAATTTGCGGACAAAAAAAATGAGGGTCACAAACTGCAAGAACATCTCAAATTAGCGTGAGTAAAATCTGGATATTTTTGGGATACTCGAATTGATCCAGGTTTTTGCTGTTAGATCGCAAAGACCCTCTTGTTTTCGTTCACTTCCTTAGCACCTCCAAAATTCAAGTTTTTGGTGGTAGATGCTCAGATTTACTTGCAACGCAAATCAACTTTTGCTTGGGAAAAAATATGACCTTGACAAGTTGACCCAAAAAAATCAAAAAAGTGTAATCAATGAGAAAAAATGCTGCTGATGGCTCCTTCTGATATTATCAACGTGGCTAATGGAAACTGGGTCAAATGGAACAACGTATAATAGATCTCAACCTTCGGCACTTGGACTGCTAACCAGAAGGTGTTTTCAGACAACGTGTTGGCAGAAATAATTTCTTTGAAAAGTACATCGATTTACCTCTTTGATTTCAAACGCCTGGAATGATATCCACGAAAGTCATAATGGAGGAAAATGGACTTCCAAACCCCATTTTATTCGTTCGCGGTAGAAACTGGTCGGAATCTACTTTCGCTAGCGTTATCCAAAAATTCTTATCTCATCGCAACCACGAGGCAAAGCGGTGTGATGGAAATGATTCAACCCTATTTGGGCTCTCGCTTGCGAAAGAATCATGCGAAAAGTCCATTTAGAATGGGGCAAAATGGGATTTACCTCCATTTTAAATGGACTTGAAAGCCCACTTTACTCCCAGCAGCAAGGTGAGCTGGGACTAAGCCCATTTTTGACCTTTCTGCATATTTTTGATGGCGATTTTTTGAGAATGTGTTCCTCAGCTCATTCTAAGGTAACAAGTGAGTGGAAAAAGTTTTCTGTCTTTTATGAAGTCTGAAATGAGTGTTTCTTTCTACAGTCATACAGACGCTATAAAAATCAGGAAGAAGGTTGAATTCACCAAAATATTCGCTAACAAACTCAAATGCTTCCAAATATCAGGTCGATGCGAATATTTCTATGTAAATTGAATAAAGTTTGTTAGCTCTTAAAATTATCAACCAAAACTAAAATTATCAACTAAAACAAAACATGATTTGTATTTGAAAATAAGAAAGATTTGCGTTTTAATACAATTACTCAGAAGCTATCTTTTGACTATTCGTAGAACCGAACCTCACGGCATTTCAAACGCGATTTTGAGAATGGTCGCAAGAATTACTGAAATGCCGCTAGCTAGCAAGAATTTTGTGAAAAATTTTCTACTAGCAATAGTCATACATTCAACTACTTAGAGATATAAACATTAATGCTGAACGACAAAGAAGAGTTAAAGTAGATTGCGAAGTCATCCTTTGCGACTTGTACTTTTCCGATTTAAAGAACCCTTTGTGTTGTAGGGCAAGGTTTCCTACGAGGTAAGCATTTTGCTTCACAGACTGCACTGCAAGTCTAGCCATAGTTTGTTTTCCCCAGCTCTACATACGAATTTCACTTAAAGCAGATCCATAGAAGTCTTGAGAAGCGAAGGCCCGGATATTATGTGAATTCTATTCTTGAAGATGTTTTCGACGCATAGTTATCGATAATAAATGGCATTTTTTTATGTATAATGTCATGTGACTGCCATCGTAATGTTGAGTCAGCCCTAGTTACATACCGACCACTTGGTAGAAATGAGTTTGCAAGAGTGAGTAAACAGGTTGAGGCAAGTTGAAGAAAGGTTTGCTGGAGAATTTTGTATGGAATGATTGAATTCGCGAATGCGATATCTTATCACACCGCATGGACTAAGTCCATTTTCTTCGCACGAAAAGCCCATTTCGCGGGGACTTTCGTGGATATCATTCCTGGTGTTCAGCCAGTAAATGGTAATCAAATCTATTCAATACCATCAACATATGATCTTTGATTCAACTGGATTGGCGGCTGGAAGGCGGGCTTTGTGACTTAGTTAAGACCAGGACCCGGCACAGATCGTATGGAAGCAGGCTGGACTTCGTTTTTATTGCAAAAAGCAAAGGAGCTATCGTTTTTGACGAATCGGTGCCGAATTTCAAGAATAAGCGCCATTTAGTTGAACACAAGCTTTTCGGACAGGTTATCAAACAATTGACATGCTCTATCGTGTATGGCGGAAAGTACGCGCAATTTGAAAGCAAGGCTGAAATAAACAAATTGCTTGTTTACAGCGCAAACAGAATCATATGACACCAAAATTGAACTATATGCATAGAAAATTATTTGAGGAAGAATTATGCAAAAGTTTTGGAAACTTATTTGAAGGAATATCTTTTCCAAATTTAGATCGCCTCCAGACGGCCACCAGACGATCTGAGATCGTCTGGAGCACATATTTTCCTCACCTCACATAAGTTTTGGATTCTATCATGCACGGCTTCCCCGGTCAAAAATCTATCGATAAATCTATCTATCGAATAATCAAAGAAAGAAATTCAAACAAACTTGAGTTGACTTGCGGGCTGACCAATGCCTCCAATGGGAAACGTCCTTTTTCTCCCATACTGTGTCCTCACGTAAAGGCCTTAATGTAACTTATTATCAAGCAAGAAAACTCCTTTGAAATATGTTTATTAATAGCCAAGGCAGAGGAAAGACCTCGGAAATTTGGTAAGAGTTTCAAAAATATAAGAATAAATAAGAAAGTCTTACTTATTTTGCATTTCGTTTACAACAATTCCTAGACAACAAAAAGTTGATACTCATTGTTAACTCACTGGTATAAAACAAGTTTTAGTGCAGCGAACCTCTTCTTTTTTTTGGGGGGGGGGGGGGGGGAGTTGCACAGGAAAAAATGATTTTTGCCGTCACCGTACGTAACAGGCCCACCTCTGATTAACTGAAGGATCGCTTTCTGATTGAACGGAAGCATTGCTGCCTCCACACTGAAACGAGACTGCCCAGACCTTTGGTCCACAAAAATCGACATCTGCGATATTTTTTCGAACAAGTTTTGATCATCTTTATGGAAGGCTCCTTTTTTCACTGCAACAAAATTTGACCTGTTTTTATGGATTATTCCAATGTTAAACAACTGATAGCGCGCGCTTACCGTCCGTAACAATAAACGCTGAAATTTTTTGTCCTTTCTCGCCTTCTAATGCTTTAATGCTTTTTGTCAGGCCTATGCCGGTATACTTCCCATCCATAAGTTTAGGAACTTCATAATCTCTAAAAATACAAAATTGCTAATCCAGCCCAAATTTGCATGCAAATGTCGCAAGCCAAAACTTACTCGAATCCTAAACTACGATGATCGAACAAATAGTGTACACCGGATCCATAAGTTATAAATTGAGTTCTAAAGTGATGAGAAGTTTTGAAGTGAACTTTTAGATATGACGCTCTCACGTTTCCAGATAGCCTCTTTGTGACACGGCCAGGTTCAAAACTTCCAGTAAACCGATATCTTTATCCGAATCACGTACGCTGACTGTTCTTGGAAGATCATTCGATGTGACCTCAAATTTAAAAATTCTTATGACAAACAGATTTCTGTTTCCTAGGTCATACTTGAAATCCTTCTGTGACTCTTCTGATTATAACTCGTACACCTTCAGCATCAGGTCCGCCATTTGAGATCACATTTGGAGGCAATTCAAACACTCTTCCCTGCAAAGGATCTTCAGATTTTCTATTATGAGAAACTTGTGCTAAGTCAACAACATGTTCTTTTCAATCTTCAAGGACTTGAAGATGAGAGAAAATTGTATGTCGAAGACTTGTATTGTTTATATAATAGATGAAAACATCCGAAGGTATGAGAGAAAATTTGAGAAAGAAAGTCATATTTGAAAGAGTTAAAGTAAAAAATCATGCGATAAATATATTTATAAGTTGAACTGGTGACAGAATGTTCCCCCTTCCCCTCACCGAATCACCGGAGGAGGGCTCAGGAAATAGTTCCTTTTTCGTTCGAAAATGGCATTTTCTTGCGCCGCATTTTTGGAAATTGATTCATAGAATAACCTTTCAGGGGTTGGAATATAAGTCTGGCGCCCAAAATTTTGAATCATTTAAAAATGCTTAGGTAATCTTTGATTCAAATGACTTGGCGAGTGGAAGGCGCGGTTTTGTTAAGGCCGCTCGCACCCGCGACGCAGTCTGCGTCTCTCTCGCGCGCGTGTTCTCTGATCATCATCTAGCCTTAACTAGGTCACAAGGCCCCGCCTTCAAAGGATAATTGCCCCAATCTGTAAGGTAAGTACGTGTTCCAACCTAATAGTTTTACACTGTAAGCATCTCCTGCAAAAAACTACTCTTCTGTCAGAAACTTATCCGAAAGATCTTGAAGATCTGAAACATATAAATACGTACCTCTGTACCTACTCTCGGTAGCTGCCTCCCGGCTGAGAAAAGTATAGCAGCACGATCATAGAATAGAGCACCGTCAGACGGAAATACTTCTACATGAAATTTCAACAAATGTTTGTACACTTGAACAGTCGCGATTTTTCGTTCTTGCTCAGGAAAGCTGAAGAAAAGTGCTTATTGTAGAAAAATGAGATATCGGTAAACCTACTCTTCTCTGATCTGTTTCGTGAGTTCTCTTCGAATTTCTCTACCATCTGATCCTTTGTACAATACATACATGCGAACATCATATTTATAGAACGGAACGTTTGGTTTCAACGCTGGAAACGGATTTTAGCATAAAATCTTTTTTCATATAGATCTTTTCACAAAAAGAATTTCGATTCTCAGAATTGCGCTGAGACCAGCACTTGGCAACTTTTTACTGATGTCTATCTCAATTAAGCCAATTTTTAGTAAAAACTGAACGGCAGCGACAGCCGTTTGATTTATTTCCTTCGGTGTGAGAGAGGGAGGGCGGGGAGGGGCCCATGAGAAGACAAGAACTAACAATGAAGTATCGAGAAATAACTCTTTTTTGTCCCAAACTTGTCTGCTAATGGAGATTGGTGACTGGGGATATTACACAAAACAAACAGGGAGAAATTATCAAAAAAAACCATTTAGGGCAAGTATGCGAAAATAAAAGGAAGAAAATCCTGAAAATAAGGGAATAACAAATTTGGACACATACAAGTCAGTTACGAACGAGCAGGGGGTTTCCTCCTTCCCCTTCTTAGGTAGCAAATTTTTTGAAAGATGTCCACAAAAGCAATTGTGCAGATGACTTCTTACACTCGTAAATTATCAAAATGACTGTTTGATTTTTATAAAATCCGAAAAAAATCGTGAAAATTCTCTCAAACATATGTTTCAGGATTGCATGCTTGTTAGCGATTTTGGTAATTCCCAAAAATCAAAGCCGGCATTTCTCCCAAAAAAAACTGGGACCGCTAGATGCAGAAATCCAATCTCTAAAGCTGCAATTCAAAAATCTACCACTCACTCAAAGAAGTGAGATTTGTCCTGAACTCAGTTTTTCTACCGATAGTACCAGGTGGACGTTTCTCAGGAAGAGCGACGGATGCTACCTGAAAAATATCTTCTATATTTGTTACTTGAATTTGTAGCTTTAAAGTCCCTGCCGCAAATAGGTGCTAAACTATGACATTGAGAACAGATTGATAAGCTGAAAATAGAACTAAATCAGAAACCTAATTATTTTGGTCAGTCTCTCTCAATCGCTAATTTTCACCATTTAATTCGTTAATGTGACACGATGAAAATTAGCGAAATTTACACAAAAGCTAGCGCGCTTCATTAGTCAATAAAAATGTACTTTCGAAAAGTAAACAAACACCAAGTTTATACTTAAAGGCACTGTTTCGGCGGAATTTCGTCTTTCACTTTTTCACCGTTTCGGTGCTTTTTCGCCATGATGAATCCATATCTGGGCTTTACAGCGCATGAAAATGGCGAGAACGAGCTTTTTCCGGAGCTTTTCAGGTCCGCATTCAGTCGAATTTACCTGTAAGTGGGCGAAGCTCTGAACGAGGGAGGCGGGGAGTGGAAGTTCCGGGTATTTTTACTGAATGCGAACCTGAAAAGCTTCGAAAAAAGCTCGTTTTCGCCATTTTCATGCGCCGAAAAGCCCAAATATGGATTCCTGATAGCGAGAAGGCTCCCAAAAAGGTGAAAAACTGGAAAATGAAATTCTGCCACTGATTACCTTGTGCACAATCTTCTAGCGTCATTTATTGGGTTGACGCAAAAATAATGGCCGTTTTGTTATTTTGGAATGGCCGTTTTGCTAATTTTCACTTTGACGTGTTATAATTTTTTGAATAATCTACCTTTCTAAATGCGATAACGATCTCACATGCAGCAAACCTTTTGCAGTGCGCACATTCTGCTCATATCAGAAACGGACAGAAAATTATGGACTGTAAAACAAAAAAGTTTCTTTTCTGGGACCTTGTTTTTTTAGATATCATGACCCCCTTCAAAGTTTGCTAGTATAAATAATAAGTAAGCTAGCTTGTAGCCGCTAGTGTACAACTGAAAATATTAGGTTGGCACGAAAGTTCTTGCGTAATTCAAAGAAAATTCAATAGCTTTACAAGGAGCAAACCAAAATGATGGTTCGGTATCTCAAAAATAAAGGAAGGTTTACGCTCTATAACAGATGTTTAAGCTTGACATTATATGAGTTGCCCCTCGAGAACGAAGCTTTCGAAAATGACAATTCAAATTTGGCCATTTTGAGTTTGATGCTAGAAAATCAAGGAGGGTCGCTAGCTAGTCTAAAAAAATCTATAAAAATTCTCTACTTACCATACGCCCATATATCACTTTGGCAGGCTTCAATCTCGTACAGAAATGTAAAACAAAAAATTCTTGAAAAATGTCACTTCACAGGAAAAGTCTCCTTATCGTTGTAGTTTTTTCACAGAAACACGGTTTAAAACCAGAAATCAGGCATGGTGTTTATTTAGAACACTATGAAGTTTTTTGAGGCGTAAAACAGTGTTTTTGCTGAAAAAGGTGCTGTAATAAGGGACTTTTTCTGTAAAATGACATTTTTCAAGAACTTTCTGTTTTTACATTTCTGTACGAGATTAAAGCCTGCCAAAGTGGTATATGGACGTATAGTAAGTAGAGAATTTTTACGGATTTTTTTAGACTAGCTAGCGACCCTCCTTGATTTTCTAGCATCAAACTCAAAATCGCCAAATTTGAATCGTCATTTTTGAAAGCTTCGTTCTCGAGAGCCGGCTCATAGATTGTCAAGCTTAAACATCTATTATAGAGCTTAAACCTTCCTTTATTTTTGAGATATCGAACCATAATTTTGGTCTGCTCCCTGTAAAGTTATTGAATTTTCTTTGAATTACGCAAGAACTTTCGTGCCAACATAATATGAAAAAAAAACTTGGACAAAGAAGATCTACGAAAAGGAAAAAAATTGAAATCCAAAATTGTCACCTTTTTTGAACATTTTTTCATAGGCCTCAAAGTTCCAAATTATGAAGTTTTCAAGTTTTTTTGCGTGCTTAACAGGTAAATGTTTTTACGAAAATCTTAATCGGAGGCCCTCCCCTTACGCTTACAGAAGTGAACAAAGTTTTGGCGATTGCATTCTCCAAAAGGAATCTATGGGTCAAAGCATAACCGCAACGGCTATCCACTTTGAGGCGCCGATATTTCAGTGTAGATAATTTCGAAAAAAAATAGTTGAGGTGCATAACGTAAATAATTTTTTTACGTAAATAGGATTTCAAAGACGCGCCGTTCATTCGCGTTTGAACTCTAGCCAGAAATAATGCAATGAGATTCTGATTTTGGATGCGGTTAGAAGCCCTGTGACTCTTTAATAGGGAAGGCTGAAAGGTCGCTTTAACCACTACTTAATGAAGCATAAAAAGAGCTTGTCAATGATATGCTGCATCTGTTTTAATAAAGAAACTTTGAAGAAAGAAAGTTGCCTTAAAAAGGCATGGAAAAAGGCCATTTTTCCTGCCTCAACCTGATGTATAGCTCTAAAACCTCCCTCCCAATCTCATGATTGATTCCCACAGTTTTTGATTGTCATATAACCTTTCATTCAACTGGCTTGGCGTCTGGAAGGCGGGGCTTTGTGACCTAGTTAAGTGCTCGCGCCCGCAACGCAGTGCGCGTCTCTGTCGCGCGCGTGCTCTCTAACCATTACCTAGCCTTAACTAGGTCACAAAGCCCTGCCTTCCAGCCGCCACGCCACCTGAATCAAAGGGTATCTTACATGGTTTTTCCTGATCCTGTAAACGTTATGGACGCTGATCAAAGAGAAATTTAAGTTGAACTTTGTTAAAAATGCATCACGTTTTCTAATATCAATGCTTAACAGCTGACCGCGTCCGAGAATAGATACTCTCGATGCAATTCAGTAAAAATAATGAGCAGATACTGGGCAGAGGAGAAACGCTCCGCCTTCGCGGATAACTGGTACTTTAGCACATGCTTTTACATATCCTGTAAGGAACGCCCGGGTGGCAGCGCCTAATGACGAGAGTCGTTCCTCTGGTCTCTTTTTTGTTATATTCAGCACTAATTACGCTAAACTGTATTTTTTCCCCTACAAGTCGGATACGACACTGACTATTCTGTTTTCGCTTAAATCTTTTTTCGATCCCTTTGATCTCAACGCTACGGATTATTGCGTATTTTTAGCCAAGGCCATTTATTGCAGCAATATATCAAATTTGAAAAAATCTTATTGCCAAAAATGTCCTCCTTTGAACTTCCCCTTGCTAGCTACGAAAGCATCTATATCGGCTTGATACTTTTTATATCCATTCATAATACAAAATAAATCTCTCATTGTGGAAACACAGGACTCAAATAACGCTAAATCCAAATAAAACTCACGGACACTTCACCCAGAGCTCTGCTTAGTGATTCAGCCATCTAAAACCGATTGAACGGACGATTGCACTATTGCATAACAGCGCCAAGCGCTAGTTCTGAAAGGAGAACACTATCAACTGACTAGATCGTAAAAAAGTAATTGGAATTCGAAGATATCACATGTTCTAAAAAATTTTTCAGCCAAAATCTCTTTAAATTGGGCTCAAATTAGAGTCAAATTTGGATTTACTAAAGAATTCTCAAAAACTTGATGTGATTAGGTAAATCACTTCTCTGTATCCAAACGAAACGTGAAAATATTGTTTACATACTGTGCTTTTTGCTTTAAAAAATCGATAGGCTTATCAACAAAAACGATTCCCCGTCTCTCCCCTCTCACTCCAAAGAATATCAAAACAATCAAAAAATGTACGAAAAACGCTAATTTCCCTTTCCAAAGCTCCAGTAGCGGACCGAGGGGGGAGGGGTCCACGGAGGAGATCGCAAAATTTTTTTCAATGTCATACACATAATTTATAAAAATGTACAAGGACCTGTTTATATCTTTAAATGATTATATAAAAATTTTTGAATTTGTTCAAAATCAATGCCTCGTAAAAAAATTTGAGGCGTGGCTACGGCCACGCCCCTCCTAAAACTTCGGGAATGAGCACGCAAAGATCTTGGAAAGCACCCCTAAAAATTTCTAATGGGCAGCTAACGCCACGCCCCTTCATTCCAAAAATTTTTTTGTCCCCCCCCCCCCTAACGACCGAAATCCTGCGACCGCCAGTGAAGTGCGCGTGTACGCGCTGAATCGCGCCTATGAAGCGATCAATAATGGCAAGAAATCAGGAATGAAGTGAGAGCGGAAATGAGCTGCATCCAGAAACCCTAGAAGAGCATCAGCGGGCAAAATCTATTTTTTATAGAAATTATAATCAAAAACCGTAAACATCGCCACAAGCATAAATGTGATTTAATCTTATGATAATTATCTAAAGAGACGAAGAAGTATAATAACATGAAGAAGAGGAAAAGAAATTCAGGCCACCCGACTGGAATTAGGTCTTGATCATGAAATCGACCCAGTTCAGGAGCTGGTCCAAATATGGAATATCCCCCGTGGGGGCGTGTTTATTGAAGTTTGTACTTACCGAAAGAGGCGGGACACGTGCGAGAGTCCAATAGCGCTACTGTGACGTCTACAGCACTCTTCTCTACAGTAAATCATTATTGATTTTGTATCGATAATTTCAAGTATAATATGACACCGAATGGTTTTTGGTATCAGTAATGAAAAAGTTTTAAGCATCAGACAAAGTTCACTGCGTGTATGGTACCATCTCACCCGAATCGATAAATATATTTCGCAATGGCGCTCCTCTGCAGACAATCAATACCACCTATATTTGATAGGTGCCCATTTCATTTCACCAAACATATTCAGATAAATTTGAAATACAAAGGGTCAAAATCAGTACTCTAAAATAGCACTGAATTAAGTGCCAGTATTGATTTGCAAGTCGACTGACTTCATCACTATTATTTCCAGCTCGAAATTATTTGGAAAGGTCTTGTCAGATATCTTTTATCATTTTGTCTATATCAACCAAATCAAAAATCTTAGTACAAATTAGCGGCGCTAAGAATACGCAACCCAAAATTGAAAAATTTCGTGTTCCGCTAAAACTTTGTACGAGCGGTTATTTGGCATACTGATCACGAAAATGATAATCATTTCGCATGGTAGGGTCTTTCTGAGGGGTTACGGTAGGCATACGGTATGGGGTGAAAATCTCAGATCTTGCTGAACTCTGCCCAGATGAGTTATTCCACAACATGCTGATTACGAATATCCCACTTTATTTCGCACGTAAAAGTTTCCCTATACGGTTAGGTAGGTGTACTGTAGGGGCTGAACGTTCTGGATTTCGCTGGAATCTGGTCTAGAGTGGTTATTCAACACGCTGAACATGTACATCATATTAAATTCGCAAGGTAATGCCATTTTCTTGGGTCACCATTGGCATACTTTACTTGGGTTAAACTCCCAAATTTGCTCAAAACTTGGCAAGGGGTTTTCAAGCATGCTGACTGCGAATGTCATGCTTACTCGCTTCAATAACGCCTTATTGAGGAGTTATAGTAATTTGCAACCTATTCAGGACAATTCAAATTCCAAAAATCCACGAAAAGCTTTATCGTCGAAATGAGCGCGATATTCGAGATCAGCACATTGAATGACCCTAGACCAAATATGCTCGCTGGAACTTTGACCACTACCGTACACCCCATAACCATACAGGGGGACGTTTCCGTGCAGAAAAAAACGGGATAATAGTAATCAGCATGTCGAATAACCCCTCTGCGCAGAGTTTCAGCAAGATCTGTGATTTTCACCCCATACCGTTTGCCTACCGTAACCGCTCAAAAAGCCCCACCATGCGAAATGATTATCATTTTCGTGATCAGCCTGCCAAATAACCTCTACGTACAAAGTTTTAGCGAAATCGCGATTTTTCATTCTTGAGTTGCGTATTCTGGAATAATAGCAAAACTGCTCTTTTGGACACAACGGATACTCAGTGATAATGATGTAGGCATCCAATCAATCACCGCTAGAAAAGTAGCGACACTAAGCGGATATAAACCACTGAAGCACATCAATTCCACTTCTTTTCACATTTAATACGATTAGCTATCAAACATAGGTGATTCAGCAAAGTCAGACCTACAACTAAAAATCAGGTCTTGATTTTGCAAAGATGTAGTTACCACTTCCAGACATGGCTCATCATCTCCATTTGAAGGTTGAAGAAGAACTCAGGTTTGTTTGCAGATCCCCAGACCTTCAAAAGTTCACTCTAAAGATTATGGTTGTCATTTTACTTTTTACTTCTGCAACGAAAACACTTGTACCTTCACAAAATTCATTAGATAGAAGGATTAGAAAAACTGAACAATAATACTGATGAAATAAGTCTAATACTATGCTAGATGCATGCGATGGCAGAAAAAAATCCGTAGCCCTTATGCTACAATGTTAGGCATCTTCGAAATTAGGTGAACATATATATCCAAAGAACAATTTACACATAATGTACATAAAAACACGAATAGTGAGAGATTAAGTAACCCGGCGACAAGGCAGAGAAGATCCTGATAATTAGGCGTTGTAACGGACTTTCTGTAACTGTCCTTGATTGACGAGTTTCGCGTTGGCCTCCTTGATGCTGCCAACTGGTTTCCTTTGATTCCTGAAAAGCATCCTTTAGCCAAAACCAATATCCAAGTACTGTTGTAATGTGGGTATAACTCACGAATTGGCAATATAGACATTGTGTCCACGCTTCGCACAACGATCAGCAACGATCAAAGGCGCTGGAACGCTAACAGTAGCAGTTACTATCTCATGCAAGTAGCACAACCCATGCGTCATGCTCTCAATGACATCGATGGGGATTTTGGAATCATCGAAAACCAAAGCGTATTTCGGCGTTTTGGCGGTTCCCTGAATTGAGATTAGTATTATGCACAGTTCCCTACAATTTCTACACAAAAAAGAAACACTGAGATTATAAACATCCAACCTGGAATGCTGAATGGGAGTTGAGGTAAAATTCGTTGATGACAGGAGAGACAATTGTTGTATCGATGATGGTTCCAGGTGGAATATTCTGTTCTGCAGCGCGGTTCCCAGTAATATTCTGAACTGTTACTTTTTCATGATACTTCACAAATCACAATCCGACAAACTTACCGCTTTATAGATGCGCTCGTTGTGATCCTTGGATACTGTCAACGCAGTAAGACTTGGTTTATAGTTGCTTGACAGAGATTTGATACCAGCTTGTATAGCGCGGATGTAGGTGGTTGCCACCTAAGATAAATAAATGATTGAGAGCAATCCTCTCCTACCTTCTTACCAGGCTCCACTGTCCTTCAGAAATTCCTGAGAAGTAGAGAACAATGTGGCGAGGAGCCAAATCAGTAGCGGCGCGGAATCTTTTCAGGATATCAACAATGAGTTCGGCTAACACAGCGCCCATCATCTAAAGGTAGATTACTCATTCAATAGTACAAGCCTAAAGAAGGTAAAGTACATCAGATTGGCGCGGCTCGATGTAGACATAGTCACCAAGATATTGCTGGCTGTTCTTCGCGCAATTTGCGCCCCAACCCAACACGGAAGGCATCTAAAAAAGATTTTTCACTAAAAACGTAGATCTCTAAAACTGTCATATTATGAGATGCTATTGCTCGAGTCGAACAAAAAGTAAACTTAGAAAACTACGACAAGTATGGAAAACCATTACTCTCCACCGATTCTAATACAGTGATGAGAATCACTAGAATAAAACACTTGATGAGACTACCTTGTAACTGGCTCCGCGCTCCAGCTCTGACTTTGACAACGCCGGTGGATTGGAAATTTCGAATCCCACGAACAGCCTATCCTTGTCACACAACCATTTGCTCGCGCTAAATCGATATGATGGAGAAAGAAGCTATAGAAGTCTGTCACACTGCAGCACTGACCGTACACTGCACTGACGGCACTACGGCACTGACTGCACTGACCGCCTTGACTGCTGCAGCCGATGCAATCGTTAGACCAAAATTACACCCATTTACATTACAAACGTTCTAGAAACCGACTACATGCTACCGCACCGCACACCTAGAAAACACATACCCGCAGCAGTACCTCTTCGAAGAAGTGCGGTGGCTGCGCTGCGGTCAGAATGGTCAGAGCAGTGCATGGAGTGCAGGCAGTGCAATCAGTGCTGCTGAAACAATCCTAAGGTGTAAAACAAAAACTTACGTGTCATTTGGTTTTGCGCCTAGCAATATGTTGTAATTGACGCCTCCGAGTTTTTCGTTGATCTAGAAAAGTAAGCATTTCATTTGATATTATGTGGAAACACAAGAATAGCTTGCCTTTGCCACGACATTATCGAGGGTTTGATTCTGATTTTTTACCAGGACAGCATCCACCTTTGATCCTTTGATCTCTTGTGAAACAATCTGGTACTCTATTTCTAATAGCTTGATGAGATCTAAACTCTGACGATGTTGATGGTGGAGTGTAGTTCTACATAACAGAAAAACTGACCGTGCTGCTTGATGTTATCAGATGTGATGAACATCAAGTAGTTACGATTCTTTGCCTTCTGTGAAGCATACCACTCCTAAAATAGTGACTATGATAACGATAGTAAAGTTGCCGATTTTCAAGCATAGCGGAGTATTGGAGAGCTGGCAGAAATTTTTCACCTTGAGACTGTCGAAGTTCTGGCGCTGAAGGGTGAAAACCTCGGCGCATGGTTCGACTTCCATTCCGCGTTGGCGGCAACGTCCTTCAATGCGCGATACATAGTCCCTAAAAGGAAAATATGTTCACAAAAAACATCTTTTCAAAGAAGTACTCACTTGATGTGTAATCGACGAGCATCGTTCTGCGTCAAAGTGGCGCAAACTGCCCAGTTGGACAGTTTTGCTGGTTCCAGGAAACGTGAGCGGTCGCCGTTCCATTTGCACTAAACAACAAGATAGTTGAATTTATACGTTAGAATGTCCAAAAACATACATTATCCACAGGTTTGATCAACTGATTCCCTCCATAGACAATCGACGGTGATGGAAGTACTCTTCCTTGAACCTACAAAACAGCAGCATATACAGACACTATACAATTCAATATCGCACCTTCGTGAACCCGTTAGCAATGTCAATTCCAGCAGCTTTCAGATATGGATTTCCATTCTTGATGTTTAACGCATCCTTCAAAATTTTGGTCTGATTGAGACGAGTCTGCGGCAATGTCGCACACGCCTAAAATACAAACACTTCATAGCTGTTGAAGTGTATATGAAGATAATTACCTTAATCATTGTGGCGACTTGGTCTGGCGTTTGTTGCTGCAAGGTGACCCTTTGCGACGGAGCAACCGTCAGGAGTTCTACGGGATAATATGTGTGCGGGTTGTGTCGCTCCGACACAGTGAATATGTTTGGATACCTGGAGTGTCGTGATATTGCTACTGACGACAGAATCAACGCTCGATTAAGGTTCAGTTTAGACTATTCGAGACTCGAGAGAAGACTTCGAAAAATCTGTAGGTTTTTTTGTATCGGTAATGCTAATACCCAATAACACATAATCCTACTTTATGGTGACAATTTCTACTCACTTCAGAGTAATATTGTAGTGTTTTCTGAAGTATTCTTCAACGGTACATTGCGAGCCATCCGTTGTTTGGAACCTAGGTTGGCATAGATTAACTACATCACGCTAAACCAGATAATCAAATGTTTCCAGAAGAAAACTGCAGAAAAGCACGAACTTCAGCTGATTCGCTGGTTGCGCGAGATTTCCAATGGGGAACGTTCGTTTCTTCCCGTACATCGTTTTGACGTAGAGGCCTACAAAGGACACATTTTATTGCAAAGTAATTGTGAAGAAAGGCGAAAGAATTTATTTGTGCCTATATAATGACCTTTGATTATCTGCAAAATAGACTTCTGATTGTAGATCTGCATGGCCGCTTCCACGGTGAAACGTGATTGCCCCGACCTAGGGTCTATGAAGATTGACAACGAAGAGATTTTCTCAAGCAGGTTCTGATCGTCGATATGAAACGCTCCCTTTGTGACTGTAACAACAGCATTTAACCATGTAAAACAAGTTTACTCCAAAATCCACTCACTATCGGTCACAACGAACGCCGTGGGGGCACTAGGACCTTTGTCGCCTTGCAGCACTTTTACGCTTTTTGTTACTCCTATTCCCATGTATTTACCATCCATGAGTTCAGGTACTTCGTTGTCTCTGGAAAAGCAAGTTTTAATGACCATAACAAAACCTCTTCACTACCCGTTAGTACAACTGCAAGCGTTCAAAAGCAGAAATCTCACCTGAAGCCCAAAGCACGATGGTCGAATAGGTAATGCACTCCAGACCCGTAAGTCACAAACTGCGAGCTGAAAAAGGGCAATTGAACACTGAATCTCAAATGAGACTGAATTCCTACGTTTCTAGATATCCTTTCTGAGACATGGCAATGTTCAAAACTTCAAGCAGTCCTTTGTCTTTTTCTAGCTCACGAACATTGACGGCTTTGGCAAGATCATTTGAAGTGACCTAGAAGAAGATGCGATCCTCAACAAACTGATGGATTATAAGCGTACTTGGAATCCGTCCGTGACTTTTTTGATCACGACTCTGATCGATTCAGCGTCAGTCCCCCCGTTAGGAATGACACTAGCAGGCAGATTGAAGGTTTTCTCCTGAAAAGTAATCAGTGGAACTACTTTTGAATACATATAAATAAAAACATCAGCTACCTCGCCATCCAGTTTGATCTGCTTCTGAGCAGAAAACAATATCGCGGCGCGATCGTAAAATAGTGCCCCGTCAGACGGGAACATATCTGCGTGGCATTTCAACAGATTCTTGTATACCAAAACGGTTGCAGTTTTTCGCTCTTGCTCAGGGAAGCTGCAAAGCAGATAGTAGCAAAAATAGTCTCGATGAAAACGCAAATCTACTCACTCATCCTTCGTTTGTTTGGTGAGCTCCTTCAAACGCTCCTGCCCATCTGCCCCTTTGTACACTACATACATGCGGATGTCATATTTGAAAAAAGGGATGTTCGGTTTGAGTGCTGCAACATTGTGTATGAGATGAGTACGATAGATTCACAATGATTGCTTTAATAAGTCTGAATCACTCACATAAGGGGGTCAGATTCGTGATAAACTCGGTCTTAGCTCCGATGTTACCAGGAGCACGCTTTTCCGGCAAGGCGATCGTCTCCACCTCAAAATTAGGTTTATTAAATTCGCAGACTACATAAAAACAAGCATTGACACCATGCCCACTCATCATGGATGAAAATAAAACATGGACAAGTGATTGACTATCCTCTTGCACAGTAAGATGGTTTTGGTCAGATGGAATTTACTTCTGTATACAACCAATTTTCGGCAATGACAGACTGAAGTTGGCTTTCCAGACAAAACAACCATCAAGATTCGTCTACCTAGTTCTGCGAAAATAGTTTCACCTTTGCAAAACCGACAAGGTGGGATTTTTTCGACAGCACATGTTGAAGGCAATACAAGTGGATGGATGAGCATCATGATCACATCGTTCTGTATTGCAAAACGGACTTTTACTCTTTCCCAATGCGCCCAGATCAAGTGCGTGTGCTAGCACGGGACGTCTCCTTGTTCAAGCCATGTTTTTTTAGTCAGCTTATACCCACATCATTCATTTTCAGATCCCGGTGCTAGCACACGCTCTTAATCTGGGCGCATTGGGAAAGAGTAAAAGTCCGTTTTGCACTACAGAACGGTGTGATCATGCAACATACATACCCAGCACCGTAACGCCTCGCTAACTTTGAAGGCAGCATCCAGGCAGAATTTCGACTTCTATACATTGCCTTATCCAAGCCTTATCATGGCCCTGATTTCAAATATGGCACTTAAAATGTTTCCTCAAAAAACCCCATTTTTGAGACAATTTTGTGAGAAGCGTGGACGAGTGCTTCTAATTCAATCCTGTCGATAGAAGCCTCAACAGGTAGACACTATGTGTTCCATTGTGTTTCCCACGTGAAAACATGTTAAAAGCTGAGGAGAGTTCGTTCAAGGGGGCCGGGGTGGTCCTCGAGGGTCGGCGTTTTTTGCACCAGATTTCTCTTTTTACATGGCGTGCACTTTTACAAAAGTCGGACTTGTGCGATAGTTCTGATCGAGGCCCGTACTCGGTTATGATAGTATCCTATAATGTTCAAACCCGCCCGGACGCTGCCTTTAAGTCTACTACTATATCCTACTCGAACAAACTCAATAATCATTGTCCGAGGAAGATAGGTCATCTTAGAGAAACCCAGTGGCTATACTTGTGCCGGAAAAGCTCCGCTGGTTGTCTAGCGCATCTTAATCTTTTGTGCTGTCTTTGAGTACAGTCGCGGTACGCTTACGGTCGCTTACATTTTCCGCTTAATACGGTATGTTTGTGGTGCCGAAAAACGCGATGAAAACTGCATGTGCCAAACAAATAGCCCCGCCAAACGCTGGTATTGAGAGGTGCAGCAATATATTGTTCATGTGCAAGCAACGCATTTTCTTGGCTCCAGAAGTGGTCTATAGTAAACGGAGAACCTATTCGACTGTAAACTCTTAAACTAATCAATATTTCGTGCCTGATAAAGCTTTCCCGGCACAGACGCAGTGCCACAAAAAACTTTCGTGCGTGCAAATTCCTCCCTTCCCCTTCCTTTCCCGCTCCTTTGAAATCGCTACTCTTCATAATACATCACATACTGGGCAAACGAGCAGATAGCATACAGTCAATATCAATTATGTACTCCTTTTCGCATTAGAACTTCGCATGCGCAACGCAACACCGCGTGCGGACCTCCAATCGATGAGGCCATTTTGAATGCGCGAGCCATGCGCGCGCGAACGTGGAGCGGAGCTCATTGCGCTTACGGAGAAGGGAGCACGTGATTGACACGGACTATATGCACATTGCTGTCTATAACTTCTCGACAAACCATCGAAACAGCAGAAGTACTTCATAAAATCCCGTCAAAAGACGTACTACTATGCACCTGGATAGAAAGCATTCGCAGCCAATACGTACTGCCGCTTGAACTTGCTGCTGCATAAGCAAGCGATGCAAACCGTGTTTATTCCCTTGACTTTGAAAATATTACTTTTCGCTTCTAGCGAAATCGCAATATTACAACAGGACCAGATACCGTGTGTGCACTTTTGTAAAAGCTTTTCGAAAGGGTAAAACTGCGTGTGAATGGACCATATTTATCAACACCGTGTGGATGTCAGTCCCAACACTAACATCACAATCAGTATGAAGCCTTGGACAGATTTTTGCAGGCAGAAGTGACAGCAAAGCATGGCACAAGTACTCAGGATGCAAAAATCAACAGATTGCACATTTGGCTCGCGGGTCTTCTGAAACGACTTAGCGCTACACAACTAAGGTTTCCGCTCATTATCAGTAAAGAATCAAAGACAGCCTCATCCAGTCTCCGACAACCCCATCTTCAGCATCTTAGCTGCGACTGTTCAAGAGGAACTTGTGGTGTCTTGAAGATGAAGCTGTCTGTTCCGAAGCGGGCACTGGGAATAGAAGATGTTGTGTCTCACATATAAATCACACACTCTTCTTCCCCATGATTACCGATCTTAACCATTCACTCTCCAACTACCTATTCTTCCGGAAAATTCAAGACCCTAGACTAACTCTCCCGATTTTATATGAAAGCATAAAAGACAAAACTCACGGACAAGTCGCCCATGGCCTTGTTCAACTGATCCGCCATGATTTGTTCGTTGAATTGCACTTATTAACTTTCGCTGAATTCTCTGAAAAGAAGAAATTGAGTTCGTAATCCATTAAAAGCATAAAACATCGCGAACAACGGAGGTGAACACATAAACCACATGGAATGGACCACAAAGAGAAAGAGCCAAAACTGTGCAAAAAATCGATGCACAGGCTCAGCCTTTCAGAGCACCTTTTCAAATGACGCTCGGTAGGCGGAGCCATATTGAGTGCATGCGATCTAACGCGTGGTCATGACGCGCATCAATGGAAGTACGGTAGTAAACACAGAATTAGCTTGTGAAAAGAAGAATAAAAGGTGAGGGAGGAACTATACGCATATTGTTACCTCAGAAGGGAGGACTATGCGAATACAATCATCTGATGATACAATATGCTAGGCGTAGTTTTCTATGACATATGGGGTTTGTTATGTCATCTGGGAGGGAGAAAATGTTTCGAGCTTGCTACATCGCACTTTGCCTGCTCTATGTGCTTTGTTGTGGCTTGCAGATTGCATCATCGAATGATGGCGAGGAACGTCTAACATTGGTCATCGATTTGGGAAAGACAGATTGTAAGAGGAAGAGGTCAGTCCATACTTTGCAGGGAAGAGTTACAATTGTCGCATAGGTTCATAGTTGTGGACCTTCGTTGGCATTTTCTATGAAGATGATCTGAAGAGGGGAAAAGTTGTTAAAACGCAAGTTTTCCATATAATTCGCTTGTTCAATTCGGCGAGGTCTATATCACCGAATATACAGCTGCTTGTTTTTATCCGTAAATCTAAATTCAAGCGAATTCTGCCAAAGAGCATATCATCGGCTTCCAGATTCGTGTGGAGGTGGAGTTTGGCCAACTCACTGCGTGGCGGTTTTTGCTAGCGAAAGTGTACGAAAAGCAATGCTATAGCGTGGAGGTTTAACAAGTTTATCCATGTTATCAGGAAAAGTCTGCAATACACACCACACGAATCTGGGAGCCGATCATACACTTCTTAACTGGGAGAAACCGTTATATTATATTTCCGACGACTGCAAAAACATGGATATAACATGCCTCACGTGAGAAGCTGGAGAACAAAATGAAATGGAGTGGTAGTTTCATAGTACGGCATTTGATACGTGTCAGAGCTGTAAAACGTGTTTATTCATGTTAAGCATATTGCAATAACTCACTCTGACGCGTATCCATTCTAACTTGTTGGACAAGAGGTCAAGCTGTCAACATGTTTGACACTTGCCTGCACACGTAAAACCTAACATACCTGTTGACCGTACAAACATGATAAACATCATTCGGGAGGGTAAAACGATGAACGCAGCAAAGTGCACGGCGCGTCATTATTGATTAGATGGCAGCCGGGTGCAAATGTGCGCTCGGACGCGAACGCCATTTGCAGCAGTTCTGCATTTCGATTTTGTATGAAAGGTAAATAATAATTTCTCTAGAGGAGTTCTCAGTGCGTACGCGTTTGACGAATCTCTTAAAAGCAAATGCGAATTGATCACATTGAAGAAGATGGAACTGCAAGTAAGTAAAAGTGCGCGTCGCGTACGCACAAGTGTGCTGAAAGAACCGCTCTTGGAGGCAGACTATAAACGACAGTAGTTATAAAGTCTCAGTGAATTTTGACGTAATTATAATATCGTCTCATGGAACGATGCCAATGTTATCGCAGTAGTCAATTGGAGTCTTATTTCAGCTGGGTCAGTCAAGTCAATCACATGTCAATTGCAAATGCAGTTTCGACACGCAAGCCTTTTTTGGAAATGAGTTTCAGGTAAATATCCTGGATGGGTTCTTTCTAACTTTCTTTACGGTAGGCGTGAATAGTTCGCAGGGCTGTATTTTCTTTTGCGCAATTGCTGCGTAGTCATTGATGCATTTGCTTGATTTATTGCTCTTATAGAGATAACAAACTGATGAGTAAGCCCTCCTATATTTCATTGTGTTCGTTCATTATTAGGCACATCGCTTCGCGTGGAAAAATCACCTAAAGATAAGAGAAATGCTAACTTCAACCTCAACTAGATCGGTTCGAACGCAGCGAATAAAAGAAACATCTTCTATACTATCTCAAGCGAACAGTTACTTAAATAGGAAGGAATTTCAGAAAAGCATGGAATTACCATACAGTGGTTGGCAAAGAGATGATGTTAAAAGCACCAACCACCCAGATTCTCGACTTCCATGTTTTGGTCGTTCCGGGGCCTTCTCACGTACCTGACTCCAAATATAAGGTTGAGAATTCGCGGAAACCCCGACAATAGCCGTTCCTGAGAACCCGCAGGCCGCTCCACCAGAACGGTGATTGGACGGGCGCTCGTGGATGGACGGGGATTGCTGGAGGGGGCGGTGCCGACTTGGATCCTCATGCCTCTTCGCTATACCAAAGCGATTTTCTCGCTTTGGAAGCGACATTTTACGAATCGCCTTGGGCATTGACTTCATAGAGGGTCCTACTATTGTAAGGTGCCAAAAGCACAAAATTCGTAATTTAGGGTGCACGGTGTCTATAAAGCTGTATGCAACTGTCCTTGAAAACAAATGACTTCAATAACACTACAATGCTCTTCGGACATCACTACTCTATGAAAAAACAGGACTTGTTAACAGAATAATATGTGAGAGAAAAGTATTCAGTTGTGGGTTATGGGGTTTAAAATGGACGAAAAACTGTATCTACTTGCAGGAGAACAAAGAAAAGGCATCATTTACCTTAAGTGCGGCAGTCAAAAGTACTTGAAAACTGTGATATGAGCCTTCACGAATGATTGAGATCTGCTAGCATTAAATAGCGGGGTCACTCAGAATTAGATGACAAATCACACTTTGGGTCGATTGAGGGTCATCCAAGACTTTATGGCGCCGCAAATGTCAATGTCTTTAGCGGCTGCGACATTTTGCGATTAATGATATCAGAGCCTGTTCGAGTGAATGAAAGCGGGTATGGGATTAGGCCCTAACGGGGGTAAAATGCGGATAATGTTGTCGATTCTAGCGCAATTGCACTACAAGTGCAGATCTACGATATTTACCTAGAACATGGGTAATTTATCGAGCCAGTAAGAGCACAAAGCAGAAACACATAATTTATAAGAATTGCAGAATTGACAATGATAATAGTTGCAGACTTTGGCTGCAAAATTATTTTCCTCGTTTTGCATGAGCGCAAAAAACTTCGTGATTGCCCAGGTGGCTCGCTTACAACGCACTATGTACGTTTGCACGATCTGGCAAAAAATGGAATGAACGTTTGATATAAAGCAGTTGGCTGTTCCAGCGGGATGGTAATGTTTGTTCTTGTCCTAAGCATTTCGTTGTTTTTGATGTTTGTGGTCGCTGCGAACTCACACGCACGTGTTGCGCATTTGTTGCCTTTGAATAGCTTACGTTCTGGTTAAATGATACAACGGCTTTTGTCCGAGTTCAACGGAAATGGAATGATTATGACCAACGAATGATTATTGGTAAATATTCAAATACGAATCCTCAACCCTGAAATTTCACTTCTATAGGTTGTTCATTTTTATAAAACGTGATTCAATAAAATGTGAAACGAGTTTATTTTTATAAATAGAACACACTCAATTGAAAAGTGCCAGATAAGTTCTTGTTTACGCTCTGTAGGGGACCATTATTCCAATAAAAATGAAGGCTCAGGTGAATACGTGATCTGTCCTGGAGTTTGATTTTCTATTCTTTTATCAGACGTCATGCAGCGAGTGACTCGAGAGTTGTCAAAAAAAGTTGTTTCGAAATTATTTTGCAGACATCTGCGTTTTCTACTCTCGCCCATTCATTCCCTTTTTGAATTTTATTGCCTACAGGCAAATATGGTTCAAGCTTTTTGAGTAAAAAAGCTCAACGTAGATCAAGTATTACAATAGGCACACCCACAGCTATATATAGCGGTGGTGCCGCGGCACTTCAAAGCATCCTTTCGTATTAACCGTTTACTGTTTACTAATTTATCAAGCTAAAAACGCGCTAAGCGCTCATAAACCAAATGTGCGCAATATGCCTCGTTTGATAAACAATAGTGGGCGGTTGTCGATATTCTTTCCAGAAATTGGACAAAAGCAGTATCTAAGCTATCGCACGCATGGGAACACATGGGAATTGAAGAGGGGTACCCTAACCAAGAAACCGTCCAGCAGTAGCGCGAAAGCCTCACTTATGAAAATTGTATCATCTGCGCTGCTTCCCGGGCAACGTCTCTGTGAGAGGACCCCATCGTTCGCGCGGTGAAGCTGCTGTCTCCAGATTTGCGTGGGCGTTATTTTGTTATTTGTTATTTGTTATTTATTTCATAGGATCAACCTGACGTTGCCTTGAAGGGCTAGGCTATGTGTTCCACGAGAAGATATTCGGAGGAAGAAGACCCCTACAAGACTAAACAGGACTTTGAAAAAAATGAAAACGAATGGTCTCTGCCATGCCTCAAAAATTTTCACATTACTAAGGCTTGCTGCACCCTGCGTTTGTTAGAAACAGGAATCAAAAGTTCGCTTGAGAAGGATTTATTTATGCAGAGGTCCCACTGTTTGAGCAAGATAAGCGGATGAGAAAATATGCAGTAAAAGGTGGCTTCGCATATTGGCTGGAAAGAAGTACAGGCGCTCGATCAGGCAAGTCCGCCCTGCTTGATAAAATGCTTTTTGGTCGTGAGGCTGCGAAGTGCATGCGTTGTGCGATTTTGCGCTAATTCAAGATATCCGAGAGAGACACTTCGAAGGAGAGTCTGCCAAAGGATAGTGGCTGAAGATTTGTCTTTACGCGAATCCTATAGAGGCAGTAGCTCAAGATTTGTGCGAAGCTGGGAAGTAGCAAAGCTTCACAATTTCAAGTCCCGTTTTTCTTGAATTTCTAAGAGCGAAAACTTGCTTTCTGATTTTTAGACACTGAAAGTTTGGGCCTGGCGCGAGTGTCATTCGGGCAATATATAGGATGGCAATGTGTTGCCGAATGTATCCAGCTAAATGGACAACGATTGAATAATCCATTGGCCACATTCGGTCCTCATTTTCAGAAAAAAGGGAAAT